GGTTTTAGCATTTTCATTATGATTTGCTTTGTTGAGACTTTCCTGATGTTTTTTCCTGTTTGGGGTTTGTTCATCCTCTTAGATCTGTGGGTTTGTAGTTTTAATCGAATTTAGAAAATTTTCAGTCATTATTTCTTGAGATATTTGTTCTCTACCCATTCATTTTTGGGATTCTTGTTTCATGTAAAGTAAACTGCTTGATTGGTTCCCAGGAGGCTATGTTCTAGCAGCTTCTCCATGCTTCAGTTTTTGTTTTATTTATCCAGTTACTGTTATTACTTACCCAGTTTCATTTCTTCTGCAATATCTAAATCTGCTGTTCAATTCATCTAGTGAAGTTCTAATTTCAGATAGGGTATTTTTTTTTAAAGATTTATTTTATTATGCATACAAGAACTGGGGTACAGGCCAGAGGTGTGGGGGATTCACCAGAGACAGAATGGGGAGCAGAACAGGTGGATTGATTGAAATACACTGCTGAGGGGAGCAGTGGGTGAGTCAGGAGAGGCCTGCTGCACCATGTGGGTAGCTTCCTGGCCAGGAATCGAACTCATACTGCAGCGGCTACGGATAGCTTCATAGGTTGTGGCTTAACCCCTTGTGCTATCAGGGAAGCCCTTCAAATAGGTTATTTTTAAGCTGTAGCAGTTCCATTATATTTTATAATCTTCCAATTCTGTACTTACTGTGGTCCAGATTTCCTTTAAGTTTGTGGATATATTTAAAAGAACTGGCTTGAGGCTCCTGTCTGCCAGTGCCATCATTTTCATTCTGTTTCTATTAACTCATTTTTCTCCCAATAGGTCTCATTCTCAGCCTCTCCCTTGCCCCCGTCCATATTTAGTAATTTTGATCTGATGCTGGACATTGTCAGCCTTACGTTGCTGAGTGTCTAGATTTTATTGTTTTCATGTAAAAAATGGCTTCTGTTTATGTAGGTACTTACATTACTTACGAATCAAATTGGTCTTTTTTTTTTTTAAAGATTTATTTATTTGTTTATACAAGCACTGGGTACAGTCAGAAGTGCAGGAGGGTGAGAGAATTCACCAGAGCCAGAGTGGGGAACAGAACGGGCAGACTTGACGAAATACACTGCTGAGGGGAGCAGCGGGCGCAGCAGGAGAGGTCTGTCACACCATGTGGGACCCTCGCTGGGGTCCGGGGATCAAACCTGCACTGCAGGGGCTGCAGGCAGCTTCGCAGCCCAGTGCTCAGCCGCTTTGCCACCAGGGGAGGCCCTCAACGTGGTCCTTTTAAGACTTTTGTAAAGCTTTGTGAGGGTGCCTCTAAGTAGCCTTTACTAGTTTAGTCCTGCTGGTAAGCCAGCATCTCCTGATGGCCCTGATAGTTCCCGAGGGTATGACCAGGCTGCTCCTCCATGGATCGGGATGATTGGGTGTTACTTAGCCCTTTGTGAGCTCTCGGTGTTAGTCCACTTACAACTCTCATAATTGTTCTTTCCCTGGAATTTGTTTTCTACCTACTTGCATAGTTACCCTGTACATTAGTAGTTGAATATTTTAGCTCCACACTCAAGTGGATGCTGTGGAGATTTCTGAATTCTGTGTTGAACCCTCCTTTCTGCTACTCTGCCCTGACAAATGCATTTGGCTCAGCCTCGCCAAGGTCTGTCCTTTTTGTTCTTAACTCTGTGAGGTTTGTATTTATTGTTTGGTTTCCTCTTTTGATGCTGTTTTCTGTAAAGAACCGCCAGGGTGAAGCTGGACCATTTTAGGGTCTACTGCATTTGTTTTTTTCTTTCAGACATTGAGGTCTGTGCTGTCTATTATTTAAATATCTGAGAGCAGTAATTTTATATATTAGGCCACTTTTTTTTGTTTTTTTTTTTTTGCATAGAAGAACTGGGGTGTAGGCCAGAGACGCAGAGGGTGAGAGGATTCACCAAAAAAATTAACCATTTTTAAAGTGTGATTCTCTTACTGGTTTTTAAGTCAGGTTTTGAAATGTTTCTCGATTCTTCCTATATTGCCAGATACTTAAATTTAATCAAATAAAATAATTTGAAGGATTTGGAGTGAAGAACTTACCCTGTATAAGATTTCAGTTAGTGAAATAAAGCATCAGTATTCTCTTTCCCAAAGAGAATTTCACTCACCTGGATGGATTCAGATGGGTTTCTTTTAATATGCTAGAAGCACAGAGTTCGCTTTATGATAGGTTATTATGCAGTCCATTTTAAGCTGATAAACTATTGATGTGTTTCTTAGATGAAAGCAAATACTCAGAAAAGCAACAGCAGATAAAAATAAATGGACATGATTAGACATCACCTGTGGGAACACAGAATAGAAAAAAGTTGACTAATACCTTTACTCGAAGCATTCTATTTTATTATTCTTTAAAAATCATGTTTGGTTTTTCATAGCTATACTGCTCCTTCCCTGAGGAACAGAAAGCTCACCACTGTCGCTTCTATTGAGATTACTCATTGTGGTTATTTTTTGATGGGGGGAAAAAAAAAGTGTATGTTTTTTCCCCCTGCAAGTTCTGCCTGACTTTCATAGTCTTTTAACAGTTGGAGAAGTCCTTGATTCCTTTTGTAGTATTAAGAGAAAAAGAAAAACCACTTATAAAACTGCTGAATGGCTATGTTTTCTCAGCCTGTGTTTCAGTTAGAACTGTTGAAGCAAGCTTGGGACAAATATGACAAAAAATCTTTAGGGACAAATATGTGAATAACTTGGGCGTTAGGGAGTTTTCAAAAGATGAAGCTTGGGAGAGATCTAGAACTTGAATGCTGAGCCGGCACTTAGGGATGAGAATGTCCACCTGTAGTGGAAGTCAAGGCAAGAAAGTAGGGAGGTGGGGTGAGGGCTATAAAGGATTTTACAGGCTAGGTGAGCCACAGAGGGGTGATCCTGAGTGGCAAGGTGGCTCAGAATTTAATTAAGTTAAAGGGATAGTCAGACAGGAGATGCCTGTAAAAAAGTGAAGCAACTCTTGGCTTGGCAAATGAGTCTTATTTTTTTGGATGAGATTAAATCATAGCTGGTATGTAAGGATAGGCAAGCCACATTATAAAGGGTTGAAATTAATTTGACGGAAATTAGAGATGTGAAATCAGAAAGAAACATTCTCTTTTTATCCAAATACTATCTCTTATATTATTCTCTTATAAACCAAATACTATCAATGTAGGTATCTGGATGTTAGTTTGTGTTAAAGTTTTTTTTTTGTTTTTGAAATAATTTGACCATTTTTTGAGAGCTTGACTTTGGGGGACACTCCCATTTACCTGTGTTGGTAGTGTCTTAACATGCGCGCTGCAGCTGAAATAGCATCAGTACACACGGTGGATTATTTGTGTGAAGTCCATAGATGAAGCCACTTGTTGCCAGTAATTTTCAAATTAAAAATTTCAGCCTCAGGGCCTCCCCCCAGTGGCGCCACGGGTTGAGCGCAGTGCTGTGAATCTGTCCGCAGCTTCTGTAGAGCAGGTTCGATTCCTGGCCGGCCAGGGAGATTCCCACATGGCGAGGCAGACCTCTCCTGTCACATCTGCTGCACCCCTCAGCAGTGTATTTCGGTCGTTTGCCTGTTCTGTTCCCCACTCTGTCTCTGGTGAGCCTCTCACCCCCGTCACCTCTGGCCTGTACCCCAGCTCTTGTATAAAAATAAATAAATCTTTAAAAAAAAATTCAGCCCCACCATTTTTCATCTTCTCAGTTTGATCCATTTGTATGTTAACAAGGGAAAGGCAAGAAAAGGGTAACAGGGACTGCCAGAGACTTCATCTAGGCTTCCAGGAGAGAGAGAAATACTATTGTCTTGTCTATAGTGAAGAAAACCAGAGTCTCGAGGACACCTTAACATTCTTGGGACTCCTCTGTAAACATCAGAAGCAAGAAAAGGACTTTGAGGCTTTTGATAATGAGCTTGAGCAGATTGGATCCTCAGATTCTATGCATTAGACTTGCAGAATCATGTAAGTGAAAGTTGACGGCAGCCCTGACCAGCAGTGGCCTGGCTGGAATCAGCTGTGTGTGTCTGCTGCGTGTATCCCCGTTGGTCAGCTGTAAGAACAGAGCTCAGCCAAGGCATTTTTCCTGCCTGTTAATCAAGGCCACACAGACAAAGCTCAAGGAAGGATGACCCCTACCTCAGGAAGTTTGACTCAGTTGCTATTTTTAACCAGCGTACAGTAGAACTGGAGGTCAGGTCTTCACTCACTAGATAGGAAAAAATTTCTGACAGGTTTTTTTGTTGTTTTTTTTTTTACATCTGAGGAAACAGTTTATGGCCTCACAGAGTAAAGCTGCTATGTGAAAGGAAGAAATGTGACAGAGACTCTTATGTATTTTTGCTGATTTGGGTCAAGGGTGTGGTGACAGAAATGTGGAAAGTTCAGTCAGTGACAAAAAAAAAATACTGCATTTTAAAGCAACTGATTGTTAAATGGTTGCACCTTGGATGGTCCTTAGTTCTCTGTGTGTGGAATCCTGTGCTGCTAACGTGAAGCTGAAGTAAGGGCATGCAGTGGGTTAATATTCTCTCTCAACATAGGACAGGAGGAGGAAATGAGCTATTGATGTGTTTCCAGACTAACTGGCTCTTCCTCTGAATGTATACATAAGCCTTTGGTTATTTGAGATGCATTTCTGTATATGTATGCTTTTTATACTACTCTGTTGGTCCTTGTTTCATTAAGAAGTTTCGTAAGTGTTTTTTGAAAAACAAAATACTACATACCAGTAGGTGTAATCTCTTTTAAAAGCCATCCTACCCAACATTAAATATGGTAGAACATTCAAGATAATAATTTGAGGGCTAGCACAAGGGTCTGTGTATCCTGGTGGTGTTATATCACCATTTAGGAATGTCTTTATGGAGTTGAAGTAGTTAGTGGTCAACAGGTACATTTTTATATTTTCAGTGTAAACAGGTTATTTAGGGATTGGTGGGTAGGGTAATGTTTTAGTGGAGTTTAAAATAGGGAATTATAAAACTGCTAACATGTTCTTGTCTCGCTTTCATAGGATTATTCAAGACAGAGTTGTAGTCATCTTCAACAAGGATCAAGAACCAAAATTTTTCCTTTTACAAAGAAATTGACAAGTTAAAGATGAAAGGAAAAGACTGGAATCATTTGGGTTCTTACTGACAGGATAAAGAACACAAGATTTCATACTTGTCATGGAAGCTTATTAAAATTCATCCCCTCTATGCATCCACCTGGGAACATGGATGTTGGTTTTTCACGTTCTGCTGTTCAGACACTGTCAAGAAGCCACTGCAAAAACATCAAACAAAAAATTTCTCAGTGGGAAGGAAGAACTAATGGCTTATCTAATGCAAATAAGTGGCATCCCAAGGACTTTGGAGTGAGGTATAACTGTCATCAAGAGATTCTTAAAAAAAGTCCTGTTGTTGAAGAAAAGAGCAAGACAGTAGATGTTAACTGTCACAGTGTTGGTCTAGAGAGGAAGGAAGATGCCAAAAGCCACATTCAAACTGAGGATGGAAGTGAGCAAAAGGACCATGATACACGCCTCTTTAAAAATGGATCAGAATCCAACTGGGTATGTTCTCAGGTTAAACAAGTTGAAACCTGGAAAGAGGTTGTTTTGGATCCAGAAACGTCATTCCCGCCAGGAAACTTCTATACCTCACAAATATTGTGGAAGAAAATAGAGGCACTTCCCCCAGATAAAGTCTTCAATTTGGCTTTAGAACATTGTGACTCTTCAGAGAAAGAACTGAATTTCAGAGTTCTGGATAGTTCATATGGAATAACCAAGAGCTTAGAAAATATTTACTCTGAACCAGAGGGGCAAGAATGTGGACATTCTATAAATCCTTTGCCAAAACCTCGTCGGACATTCAGATACTTATCTGAGTCTGGTGTTGTGCCATGTGATGAAAGAAACTGTGACCAAAAATACTGTGAAAATAATTCTTGTGCAGAGTCGTCTTTGGCCTCTTCTCGGGAACCGGAACCAAAGAAATATGGCGGGAAAATCAGAGGGAGATCTAAAAGGTATGTTTTTATTTCATAGGTAATGATTTGGGAGTACTTTCCATGCAAAATTACTGAATTCCTTTTTTTCCTTTTGAAACCACTTTCCATTTCCTGGTCTGGGTACAGCTCTAACTTGATTATACACATGTTGAGTAACCCAAGGGGAAAAACCAGACAGACAGTGTGGCATGGAGGTGATACCTGAAACAGTCTACTGACACGAGCGCTTCAGAAAGCTTTTATTTTATTTTTTAAAGATTTATTTATTTATGCCTACAAGAGCAGGGGTATAGGCCAGAGATGTGGAGGTAGGGGGGTGAGAGGATCCACCAGAGACAGAGTGGGGGACAGAACAGGCAGACCGACTGAAACACACTGCTGAGGGGAGCAGCAGGTAAGACAGGAGAGGTCTGCTGCGCCATGTGGGCTGCTCCCTAGCTGGACAAGGATCGAACTCATGCTGCAGAGGCTGCGGATTGCTTCATAGTGCGATGCTTAACCCCTTGCGCCACCAGGGAGTCCCCAAAAGCTTTGATTTTACAATCAATGAATGTACAGAGAAACAAGTTCATCCTTCTTCATTCGGGCATGCTGACCTCAGCTCACTTACACTAGAGATCGAGTTGACTAGTGGTGTCCAGTGAAGAACATGAAGATAAATGGCTTCAACCTTCTCATTTTCTCACGGTACATATTGGGGGTCCTGCCTAGTTCATTTTTTTTTCCTTCTTAGTTTATTAATTAGGAATCTGATAAAGCACATTTATAACTTTATACACAAGTCCTTACCAATTCCTATCATACCAGTTTTAAAAAAAAGACTAGTGTTTTAAGTGATACAACTTTAAAATATGTATCTCCTTTCTTAAGGAAATCCTTTGAATTTGAGGATATTCAGCACTTTCGAAGTCGGAACTCACAGAAGATTCATGAAGAACTTGGAAGAAATTCTAGCTCAGCACTTTATCACACACAGTCTGAGGACAATATCTATGAGGATATCTTATGTAGGTGTCCAGAAACTCTGTAATTAAGTTTAAAGAGTATGTGTTTGGTGGTGCCCTTAACTATTGGATAGCATTTTTCTTTTATAATCAAGTATATTCTGCTCAAGAATTTTTCTTTTTAATATGGAAATCTTTGTTGTATAAGTTCTTCTTTTGTTTCGTAGATTTTACACCAGTTTAGTGGACTGCTCAGTTCAGAAGTAGGTGTTGATAGTATTTTAAAAAAATACTTAGTTACTTATTTTGCATTGAAGAAATGGGATGTTGGCCAGAGGTGCAAGAGGGTGGGGTGTGTGCGAGAGGATTCACCAGAGACAGAGTGGGGAGCAGAACAGGCAGATTAACTGAAATACACTGCTGAGGGGAGCAGCGGACGAGACAGGAGAGGTCTGCCGACCATATATGGGTCAGCTCCCTGGCTGGGTATTGAACTCAGTCTGTGGCCGTAATAGCACTGAGACTTAACCCCTAGGCCACCAGGGAGGCCTTAGACATTTATAGTATTTTGAGAATTCTTTCGGCTTGGTTGTACTGAGTGGTTTATAACTGCAAAGTGCCATTAATTGTGAGTCCCACATGCAGTATAGACTAGAATGATGAACATACTTGGCCCTTTTTTTCTTTCTTTTCCTAGCTGTAGTAGCTTCGTTTCCATGTAATTATGTTCCTTTTAATTTTTTTTCATTATTTCTCAAGATCCCGCCAAGGAAAATCCATATGAAGATATTTCAATACAACCTTTACCCATGTGGAGATCTCCATCAGCCTGGAGGCTACCGCCCCCTAAAAGTCCTTTCAGAGCACCCAAGGTACAGCCAGAGAATTACTAGAATGCTACAGTCTTGCTTATGAGCTCTATGAAAAGGTTAAAGTGGTTTACCTAGAGCCAAAAGTACGAGGCACAGAACAGTGGGTTGTGTCGGTGGTCGTGGTGGTGGATTGTTGTTTTGTTTTGGGGGCAGCACATAACATTTTATGCTTTGGATGGGGGAGTTTTTATTGTTAGTTTTTAGCACATCAAATACAGTTTCGATGTGAACACTCAACAGGCCGTGACCTGTCAGTTCCTATTGTTTGCACAGCTCACTGTACCCTCCCATCTCCCTGTGGCCTACACCTGGCTGGTCCCTGAAAACACTTACCATCCCCAGAAGCCCAGGCTGCCTTTAGTTAATGAAGACTATGAGCCTTTGTTTTCTAGAAATATAATTTCAAAATAGTAAAAGAATTTTAGGTTAGAAGCCTGAGATACTTTACAAAGGGTGGAAAAGGAATTATGGTAACCGCACTTGAGATCATCATAAAGGAAGGGTCATTGTTTCTCCTGGGTAACTTCGACTTTGTTTTAGAACTTGGGTATAAACTAGGGTACCTGCCCCTGACCACTGTGTCCTCTCTGGTTTCAGTTCCCGCCCAAGCCCCAGTTCCTTCACCGGAAGACTATGGAACTGAAGAACACTCAGGCATTTTTACGGTCAAAGTTCACAAAGGACACCACTCTGCCTGTCACTTTAACTGAATGGAAGCTTTTCCGAGCTGGAGAAGTTGCAAACAGGAAAAGGAAAAATCTTCCAAGGGTAAGGACTCCAGTGTTTTTATTCTTTGACTCTTACTTCATCATTTCTATAAAAGAAAATAAACTTCAGACTGAAATGAATAACAGGTTAGAGCCGACTCATTGGAATTAGAAAATTTGGAAAGGAACCTTGTGTTTTAAATGTTTGCTCATGCAAGAAAACTGCGTGGATGGCTTTTGCTAAGGTTTCTTTGTGGATTTGGAAAATTGATTTTAGATGGAGGACTTTGCTTCTGTTACCTTAAAATCCGCATCCTGTTTCAAGGAAGCATAAGAATTTCATATAAATGATGTTGTGCTGAGCTGGCTGCATTTGCAGGTTTCCTCCACTATCCCAAAATAGAATATTCCTGTTTGGTATGATTTGGTAGGTTATCTTTTGGGTCTGGGAATATATTACCATTAGTTTATGTGGAAAAAGTTATGAGCATTCCCAGACCCCATAAATTACCTATCAAATCATAACTAATAAGAATATTCTAACTTTGTTTATCAGGGAAGCTTCTGTGTAATTGTCACAATGAATTCAGGGTTTTGTCCGAGTTTATAAATTTTCAGTAATGACAAAGTATATGCCATTCATTTAGGGCAAAATTTTCTAATAGGGAAAGAAAAAAAATGCATGACTGTTACTTACGAGTAGTATCAGCAATTATACTCAATAAGTTACTTCTCTATCAAGAGAGAAAAGTCAGTCAGTTGTAAATTATCTCAACTAGATGTTGGAACCAAAATGAAGAAACTGGAATTATTTGTAGACAGAAATATTTTCTTCTAGGAGAGACATTTGAGAAATTGCATGAAAATATTTCTAAACGTTTTGTGACTTTGTGCTGTAATTCAGAATGTTTTCAACGTTGCTATGTAAAAATAAGAAATTAGATCATTTAAATAATATTCTTTTCCTTAATGCCATTTGAATTAGTCACATATATTCATTTGGCACACGATTTTGGCACCAAAATGACAGCTGTTTCTTGCTTTAGTCACTCCTGTGTTTGGTGAGGAATACTTAAAAATCAGAGGATTATAGAATTTCTGGGCATCCTGCACTACTTCTCTGTGCTCAGAGATCTTGGGGTCACCCAAAGCAGGCTGCCACCTTCCCCAGAAACTACAGGTCCCTTGCTGTGAAGAACACAGACAGTACCTCGCTGGTGGCCTAGAGCTTAAGTCTCAGCGCTACCACTGCAGCACAAGTTTGATCCCCAGCCAGGGAGCAACCCACATGGCGCAGCAGACCTCTCCTGTCTCACCCGCTGCTCCCCTCAGCAGTGTATTTCGGTCAGTCTGCCTGTTCTGCTCCCCACTCTGTCTCTGGTGAATCCTTTCACCTCCTGCACCTCTGGCCTAGACCCCGGTTCTATGCGCAAAAATGAAACAAACTCGGAACACACGCACATAAGGAATTACATTTGAGTTGCGGTTTTGGGACTGACATTAACAAATATCTAGGAATTAGGAGTTTAATGAGACCTGAGGAGATTGATGGTGCTTTTGACTTCATGTCTCAGTATTTTATGTTCTGTGGATCCCGAGTACCCAAAGCTTGTTCTCTCTCTGATGATAGGTGATAACGAATCCAACTTTTCTTTTTCTAATATTTTTCTCAAAGGAATTTTTTTTAAGAAGTGTGGAGCGGAAAATGTGACAATGAACTCGATTGCCAGGACGGTGCAGGCTGTTAGCATGTCTCCCTGTGGCCTGCCGGATGACGTCTTTCAGGATGTCCCCTTTATAACTCTGGTCCTGGCTTTGGAGTGTCATCAGAAACAACATTCCATGAGAAAGCAGTTTTTATTTGCTTCCCTAGTGATGACTGGAGCTAGCCCTGGAGGGAAGCTGCCTTCAGAGTTTGAAACTCACTGATCTAGTCCATACGCCTCTTCCCCGCCCTTCCTTTCTCTCGCTGCCCTGGAAGCCTGTGTCGGATTGTTTGCTGAAGTAGATTTCCTAGTGTTTTATATATTGTTTCAAGTGTGTGCAGCAATATGGTTTCTATCATTTCTTAGGAAAATAATTCTAGAAGGTAAAAATAGCTTCTCTTCCTAGTTTGGAACGAGAATTTAAATTTTTATTAATTTAACTCATATTCCTAGAACAGATAGTTCCCTTCCCTTTATGATATGATTATACTTTTGAAGTGCACATTAATAAGTATGCTGTTTTTGGTCATTATTTACTCAGAATACATGTTTACATACATCTCACTCTGTCCTCCAGCATTACCATTTCATTGTGGATTCTCTTGTTTGTTTTTTAATAATGGTGGCACTTAAGGACATTGATAATTTTTTCACCTGGAAAGCAACCACAAGAATCTTTAAAAGAATAAACCAATCCAAAAATGTGGGACTAATTTACATATTGGAAGCACATGTTTCTCACATGTTATTTTTCTTGCTCTTGGATTGACTCACTACCTATGGATTGCCAAGTGCTGGAGAAACAAGGACAAAAGAGAAAACAAGAACGTTTTCTCCAAGCAACTTTGTTAATCATCATACATAATGTTCTTAGCAATGTTTTTTTAAAAAGATTTATTTATTTATGCATACAAGAACTTGGGTACAGGCCAGAGATGTGAGGGTTGAGAGATTCACCAGAGACAGAGTGGGGAGCAGAACAGGCAGATTGACCAAAGTACACTGCTGAGGGGAGCAGCGGGCGAGTCAGGAATGGTCTTCTACGCCATGTGGGTTGCTCCCTGGCAAGGCCGGTGATCGAACTTGTGCTGCAGTGGCTGTGGATAGCTTCATAAGTTGGGCCTTAACCCCTTGGCGCCACCAGAGAGGCCCTTCCCTCTTTTTTTAACCCCAGCCTATGCGTGTCAGTCTCTTTTACACACAGCTCCCCTCACAGAAAGAACTCTGATGAACAGTGCTTCTTAACTAGAGCTTGGCGTTGTGCTTGAACACATTAGAGTTTCCTATTTTATGACATGTTTCTTAAAAACAAAACAAAGCAAAAACACCAATATAGAGTAGTACTCCCTTTGAAAAAACTTTCTAAGCCTAATTATCCTCTCCTTGCAAAGATTTCCTGGGAGCAGAAATAACTGAGCCTCGCCCTACCCTCTGAGTTGAATGAGCATTCCACTTCCTGCTCTGAGCAAGCGAAAACTTGAGTCCAGACGTGAAGGCTGGTCACTGCATACAGCACAGCAGGCTGCTTGTTGGGACATGAGTGACAAGCAGAGCAACCCAGGGCCCGTGCTGGGTTCTTCTGGAAAGAAGATACCCTTCCCCACTTCTTTTACCCATGTTGTGTGAACTCTGCATCAGAACAACATAATCATCTTATTCAAGGTCATTTTAGATTGAAAGTTGAAAACTGTAAAGGTTTTTATTTATACAATGGATCTTTTCTCTGAATGAGAATCACTAATAAAGTTCCGTCCACCAGGCTGTGAAACTTAACTGGTATTAGTTTTAACTTAAGCTTTTCTGGTCTTTTTTTCAGTTTGTATTGAAAATTGATGACATATTTGAATCTAAGAGAGGGAAGAAGAGAGTAAAATTACACCCTTACACTGGAAAAGACGCACCTCCCACAAAAGGTAAGGCCTGTCGCAGCTGTTTATCACCATCAGCATACAAAGGGCGATTCGTTGTATAATTTGATGTTTGATGCCTGTGGCAGGTTTTGGTTTTCTTAGCAGCTTTCTATCCCAATTAAATATAAACTGTGGAATAAGGGATATTTCTTTCTCTTCCTCAAATCCCTTTTATTTTGTTCTGTGACAAGTAGTGACTACTAGATAAATAAATTTTAAAGAACCTTACAAACCAGTGAGATTAATGTTCATATTATCTTTATTTGTAGTCCTACTTTGTTCAATAAGTCAACTTATCAGTGTAGAGTCTTTAAGTGGAGAAATGAAAATATTAGGTAGGGCCTTCCTGGTGGCCTAGGGGTTAAGTCTCAGAACTATCACCCCTACTGCCTGAGTTCAGTCCCCAGCCAGGGAGCTAACCCACATGGTGTAGATTTCTGTCTCGCCCGCTGCTCCCTCAGCAGTGTATTTCAGTCAGTCTGCCTGCTCTGCTCCCCACTCTGTCTCCAGTGAATCCTCTCACCCTCTGTACCTCTGGCCTACACCCCAGTTCTATGCAAAAATAAATAAAAATAAAACTTTTTTTTTTAATAAATTACAGGTTATATATCATCTGAAAGTGTATGGTACTCATCCATTATGTTCAGTAATTTTATCTTTCAGATACTTAGATAAAACAGATACCGTCTTTATTAAGAAACTTTCAACTTCCATAGGGAATTGCTAGAATTTTCTTAAAAACTCAAGCAAGATTCTTGACTTGGTTGTCTGGCACAGACATGTGGAATTTAGCAATTTTTATAATTTAGAAAGAACAGCCAAGTCAAATCAGAGAATGTTTCATATTTTTGCAGACTTAAAAAGATAAAAATTTCTTAACTTTCCATGAAAGTCTGTTCTACATTTCTGCAGTGAATGTATCACATTATTCTGACTTTCAGTCTGTGTACATCCAGGTAGTCACATTTGTCTTACTTTCTTTTTTAAAGATTCATTTATTTGTTTGTTTGTTTGTTGAAGAACTGGGGTGTAGGCTAAAAGTGTGGGGTGGTGGTGAGAGGATTCACCAGAGACAGATTGGGGTACAGAACAGGCAGATTCCCTGAAATACACTGCTGAGGGGAGCAGCAGGAGAGACAGAATAGGTCTGCTGCACAGGGGATCCAACCCAGGCCATAGTGGTAATAGTGCTAAGATTCAACCCCTAGGTCCCCAGGGAGGCCCTTAGTCTTACTATTATACCATGTTTTGATTTTCCTGATTATTCATAACCATTATTTCTATAATTTTCCCTTTGTCTTCCTTATATCCATATTCTAATATAACATAAACATTCTTTTCTAGTAATATATTTTTTAAACAGAAGAAAAACTGTTCTAACAGATTCTAACAATTACTATCAAAAAATGAAATCCCCCATGCTACAATTTTAGACCCTTCTGTTTATAATTTGACTCTTCAAAAACTTGATTTAGGGTCAATTTCACTAAAATAGTTCTAATCCATAAGGTACTGTGATAATTAAAACCACTGGTCACTATTTTAAATGTGAGTTTTCATATTTTCAACAGCAATTAAGAAAATATAGTTTGGACTATAACCAAGATGAAAATGCATACATTGTGCAAAAATGAAAAATGATGTAAAAAATATATAAAATTAAAAAAAAATACAGTTCAGTTTTCTGCAGAAGGAATACTGTTGGTTATTCTTATTATTAGTAGCTACCATTTATTGAATGAAGTAACAGTTTCTTTACATACTTTGTCTCATTATATCATAATATCATATGCCAATCCTGGGAGCCAGGGACCATCCTAATTTCAGAGGAAGAGACAGAGCCAAAAGCAAGCAGCATAGATTTGAATCGAGACGCATGGCACCACAAACTCTTATTTTTTTCTATCATCACTAGTTCCTCTCAATTTTTCTCATAGACCTGATTTTTAGCAGTTTAACTATCTCCTCCCCATGTGTCTTCTTATTCTCAACAAGGATACAGTCAAAGACTTTTTACTTTTGTAATTCAGAACTAGATACACAAAATGAAAGCCGGTGTCTGGTCTTTTGCTGGATCCTTTCAGGCTACGTTATTAATTTTCTAAATAACGCTCTATGGCAGATATTATTCACACTGTCTCATAGCTAAGGAAATAAATTACAAGCTGAAAATTACGTAAAATATGAAAACCCTGGGGCCAGGACTAATTCTTACCAAACATTGTCATTTCCCGGATTAACAGTAGCCTGTTGATAATTGCTCTTCGGGTGTTTCACTCTAAGTAGGTTATTAGTAATCTTTATTTTATTGTATGCTCTGTGCCTTATGGATTAGAACTATTTTGGTGAATTTGACCCTAGGACAAGTGTTTGAAGAGCCAAATCCCCCCCCAACACACCTCATTATTGAAAAGGAAAAAAATCCAGCATTGTGATTTGTGGTTTGTGTGACACACACACGTGCACACACACGGCTTAGTTGAGACCCTTCTTATGAGTTTGTCTATCTTTTGCATGACTCATAGGAAATTTTCCCAGCCTCTTACCAACTCCTGCCAGTGGACCAGAGGAATTTCTCTGATGCCTGAGAATCTCCTGGCTTCATAGTCACAGTTCTCAGATTTTTGATTTCCTCTTTAAGCTTTTGTCTGTGTAACAACAATGCCTGGTAGAACCAGATAATTATATTTACCTACTCTGTCAGTACATGCTCGGTTTACTGAATATATTCCAACCTAAACATTTCTTAACTCTCGACTATCAAGTATTACAAAATAACTTGCTGCTCATCTTCAATTGTGTCCTTATAATTTTGCGTGTTGAAGTCACATATAAAAAAGGGGCAACCTAACACTTTTTAAAAAAAAATTATTTTTATTTATGCATACAAGAGCTGGGGTACAGGCCAGAGGTGTGGGGGGTGAGAGGATTCACCAGAGACAGAGTAGGGAACAAAACAGAGCAAATTGACCAAAATACACTGCTGAGGGGAGCAGCGGATGAGTCAGGAGAGGTCTGCTGCACCATGTGGGTATCTTCCCTGGCCGGGGACCCCAAACTCTGAGCCTCAGTGGCTGTGGACAGCTTCATAGGTTGTGTCTTAACCCCTTGTGCCACCAGGGAGGCCCTAATACTTTTTGATCCCTGCAGATTCTTAATAGACTTCCCTGTTGGGCTATAAACCTCTTAACCTTCAGATTCATTGTCTTGGAATACAGAGCATCAAAAGTTGCAGATGTGAATATATTAAAGCTACTTATGTTTTTTTTTCTAAGATCTTTTCTAGTTACTTTATCTTTCCTCTCCTTCCCTTTCTTTTCTTTCTTTCCAAACTCTTTTTAAGTTCCTGAGAGCTAACAACACAGATAGGACTTAGGACCCCAGAGTTTGTTCCTTCACATGCTGAACAGCACTTTACAAGCCCATTATACTTCTTGTCAGGGTAGTTGATTTGAAGTTATAAAATCATGTATAGTACACAGTGTTATAAAAGCTACTTTTTTTTTTTGGTAGCACCTCATATACCTTTCCCACCTCTCTTATGAAGAGGCAGTCTTTAAAAAAGTTCTTATTCCTTAATATAAAATTAAATGAACATAGCAAGAAATTATAAAATAGAAAGTAAGATGGAAAGCCAGTTTTCCAAACCTCCTCCTAGTACTCCTAGAAAAATTTGATGCACATGTGAATATTTTTCTCCTGCCCAAATAGCCTTTTATACCATTCAGACTTGGTATTAAAAAAAAAAAGCATAATTAGTGTATTTTGGAGCTTTTTCAGTATTAACACGGAGACAAACACATAGCTCTCCCGTGTGTCATTGTATATATCTGAAAGAATTGTATTTAGCTGGTAGTTATTGGCTGTTTTAACATCTTACTTGACGTGTGGATATTTGAGTTCTATACACATGTGTGTATATTTGAAGGGCTATGTATATATTACCTTCAAAGACTGCTGTAATATAAATCCCTCTGCTTTGCTTATATTTTTGTTTAAGTATGCAGCTATAGAATAAGTTCTAGCATTACACTTAATAAAAAATAGGCATTTGAAATTTTACACCTGTTGCCAAATTGTCCCACATGTTGTGACAGCTTACGTTTCCATGAACAACATGTGAACATTACTTTTTTCCCATAATCTTTAATAATGTAGTATTTTACTAAGGCTTTTTATTTTTTTGCCAGTATCATGATTGAAAATTGTGTCAATTTATTATTTTTATTTCACTCTTCTTTAATTATGAATTCGAGCAATTTTCAAATTTATTAGCATTTATATATTTTTTCTATGGATTGCCTCTGCCTGTCCTTTATTCCTGTTTCTGTTTTGTGGTTTTCCTTATACTGGCTATTTGAATATTAGGATACTTAACCTTGGACCTCCCTGATGGTACAAGGGGTCAAGTCTTAACACTGAGCCACTGCAGCACGAGTTCTATCCCTGGCCAGGGAGCTGACCCACATGGCGCAACAGACCTCTCCTGTCTCGCCTGCTACTCCCCTCAGCAGTGTATTTCAGTCAGTCTGCCTGTTCTGTTCCCCACTCTGTCTCTGGTGAATCCTCTCATCCTTTACTCCCATACCTCTGGCCTACACCCAGCTCTTGTATGCATAAATAAATTTATTAAAAAAAAAAAAAGAAACTCAACCTTGTGTCTGCAATGTGTATTACAGATATTTTTCCCAGTTTATTATTTACCTTTCAAATTTACTAATGGTTTTTTATTAGACAGAAATCTTGTATTTTTATGTAATCAGATATATTCTTTCTTCATTTATCACTCCTAGAGCTTGTTTTTCCTGTTACATTTAAAGATTTTGCTTTTTCTAGCATCTTTTATTTTTGCTTTTTTAACTTTTCAGACTTAATCTAGAGAATTTTCATGCATTTATTCAAGATTTTTCTTTTTGATCAATTTCTCTGTGCCTAACATTATAGTTTAAAATGCTCCGTTGCAACAGCGTAGCCTCTTATCCTCAGGATACTAAAATCTGGGGAAAATAAGAGCAAGTCAAAGCAGTCTGGGCATTATAAGGATTTAGAGTAAAAGAAAGTCCCATTTGGCCTAGAGGAAGCTTAAAGGCTTGGATGTAACTTCATGAATTTTTGGTCCTCTCTCTCGGCCATACATTTTCCTAAGTTTATAATTTGTTCTGTGTTCAGATTTTTGCTTAGCCAGGCTGGTGCTGTACCTTTGATGCCTCACATACAAAGAGAAGAATATGAATGTAGAAATACAATCCACTCTGAGCTAGACTTTTGTTTTAAAACTAGTCTGAACTGCTGTCGTATTTATTTCTAGAATTAGCCGCAGAGGTGGGAGGGTGTGGGAAGACCATGCCATGGAGCAGCTTCCTCACCAGACCTTTTATTCTCTGCTGTCACTGTCCTAACCTGACAGAGCTAAGTGGCTTGGAGAAAGGCTCAGCCTCCTCACGCCTTCCTGCAAGCCCCAGATCCAGGCACATTTGACATTGTTTTCTCCCCCCATGTGCCTCCTGCTGTTGGACAATGCAAATGGAATCTCTCTTTTCAGGTGAAACCAGTGGGAACGAAAGTGATGCCGAGTATCTGCCAAAGAGTGAGTGAGTCACCGGGGCTGCTCCCTCTCTCGGGTTGGTCCCTGTCGGGGTGATCGAGGGTATAGGTGGAGTGGAACCTACTGGTGTGACTAAGCAGGCTTTTTCCACACACTGTTTCATTTTGTGGGTGATTTCTTCATTATGAGAACCTGTTGAGAGTTGGGAGCTAAACAGTTCATGGTCACATTTTTAACAGCATTAAAAATCCATGGCGGAGTCCGCCAAGCCAGTGTGATTCTCGAGATGGAATATTTGTAGGGGTGGTGTCGAGCTGCATGTTCAGACCTATATGCCCAGGTTCCCCGGCAGCCAGAGTATGTGAATCATCACTCAAACACGATTGTTTAAGTGACTTTGCGCTCTCTGACACTGAGATGGGAAACATTTCAGTATATTTCTTTTTTTTCCCCAAAAGATTTATTTATTTATGCGTACAAGAGCTGGGGTATAGGCCAGAGATGCGGGGGGTGGGGAGGGGTGAGAGGATTCACCAGAGAAAGAGAGTGGGGAACATAATAGGCAGATTAACCGAAGCATACTGCTGAGGAGAGCAGCGGGCGGGCGAGTCAGGAGAGGTCTGCTGCGCCATGTGGGTAGCTCCCTGGCCAGCCAGGGATCGAACTCATGCTGAGGCTGTGGATTGCTTCATAGTGCTGTGCTTAACCCCTTGCACCACCAGGGAGGCCCTTCAGTGTATTTCTTACTCAAACATTTATATTCCAGATGATTGTGCCTTTCTTTTCTGTTAGAATATAGCCATGCAAAGCACTTTTTATTCCCCCTGTATTCAAGTGCTTCGTGGTTCTCTGCAACTGTCATCAAAGAGATTTTCAGAGCAAGTCAGGCAGTTCCTGTTTCACTGCTTGACATCCTGAGGGATGGGAAAAGCAGGAGGCATGAATTAACAGGCTGAGCTCAGGGCAGTTTCCGGTCTGGTGTTCTGCGCTTATGATTAATAGTCATGTGTTGCCTCCTCCTGCCTGAATTAGGTGTTTGATTTTGTAGCCTGACTGAGGGTGAAACTTAGCTCATCACCAGGTTTGGCCTGGCTGGGTGAACATAATCAATTTGGTTCTGTTGCTACTGAGAAACAGAACTTAAACATTTGTCTTGACTTGATCTGGTCCTCTGGCATGAGTAAGACTTTGCCTGGGACTCTCAACATACTGCTGATTCTAGGGAGCTTCTCTTGGATGTGTTTTTTTAAATTTTGGTCCACAGTGTAATTTCTTTGGGGGCAGAGTGAGTCATATCTCAAAAGCAAAGCAAAGCAATTAGAGGATGAGTCTTTCAGTCACTTGCTCAAAATGACACAGAAGCAAATGTCTGGGGATTTTCGACTCTTCCTTCTCCAAGTACTTCCCCTTGAGGAAGTGACCCTTAATTGTTCAGAATGTAAAGATAATGAGACAGTGATGAAATGCGATTCTGTTTGGTGGTATTGCTGGTACTGTCTACATAGTATGCTTCCATAATTTCCTTCTTTTGGAAATAGTCTACTAATAGGTGTCTTCTTATGCTTCATTTGCACCCTCGAGTGTAGCACCATTGCTGATAGAAGCTTGTGCCTGTAACTAGTAACCAGTGTCAGAAGAGTCAAGGGAAAAGGACCATTTCTTTAATGAGAGGATAGTTTTTTTAAAATTTTTTATTTTATCAGACTCATCCCTTTATCGCTTATCCCTTGTAGGACTCGTTTCTTTCATCACTTCTTTCATTCCTGCCTATGATGTCATGGTCCTAACAATGGGATCTGTTGTCAGGCCAGTGCTTTTATGTAGCATTTTCCTTCTGCTTTGCTGTTAGGCCATGAAAGATGGGGTAGCAAAAGGCATGTCATGCCTACAGATTATCGACAGCCACCGCCGCCAGTCTCTACCTGTCCCCCGTGTACATCCTATGTCCTAGACCCGACAGGTGTGTCTGCGTGGCAGACACTGGCTCATTAACCTTCATTTAGCAACTGAGTGAAGATTCCTTAGGCCTGTAGGCTCGAGTGCATGGGCACTACTGGGCAGATGGGCAACCGAGCTCTGTGCTCTTCTTCCAGACCGCCACAAGCGCCTGGCCCAGCTGCAGCACTCGGCCAAGAGGAACCCACACTACCAGACCTTAGAGCGGGACCTTATCGAGCTACAGGAGCAGCAGCTGTTTGAACTTTTTGTGGTGGTATCGCTACAGAAGAAGACATCAGATATAAGCTATGTTCCCCAGGTCATTCAACAGTTCCCTGGTAAGGTAGGTGCAAGGAGGCCAAGAGGCACTCTGGAGTGTTCTTTTGGGTCTGTGTGTCTGTGTGCACTTACTTCCTCTCTTCTTGTTGACTGTCATCTCCATTAGCTCTTACTAAGACTGTGCTGCTCGTGGGATCTGGTAAAGTGACACCGGTGACGTCAGTGTGAGCTGCAGCCACAGGGAATATAAGGCTCATTCTCCAAATTATTCTGTTTTTTTTTAATTTGTTGCTCTGCTGTTTACCAAATGACCTTTAGCAGTTACAAAGCCTCAATTTTCTCATACTTAATGAGGGGAATAATAAATGTGACCGTTTAGAGCATGGAGTCTGAGCCAAATAACTACATTTGCCATTTATTAACTCTCTGACTTTGACTTTTTTTTTTTTTTAAACATTTGGGGGACAATGCAAGAAACAATGGTATACTTTTTTTTTTTTTTTAAGATTTATTTATTTATTTATACAAGCACGGGGTACAGTCAGAAGCGCGGGAGGGTGAGAGAATTCACCAGAGCCAGAGCGGGGAGCAGAGCAGGCAGAAGGACCGAAGCACACTGCTGAGGGGAGCAGCGGGCGGCAGGAGAGGTCTGTGCACCATGTGGGACCCTCCTCGGTGGCCGGGGAGCAGCCGGGGATCGAACCGGCGCCGCAGAGGCCTCGGGCAGCTTCGCAACCCAGCGCTCAACCGCTGCGCCATCCGGGAGGCCCCTCTGACTTTGACTTTTACGTAACTGCTGTGTGCCTGATTTCTTCATTTCAAAGTGGTAATCCAAATAGTGTCCACCCCATTGAGCTGTCGTGAGAATTAAATGAGCTAATTTTTATAAGGCACTTAGAACAGTACCCGGCATGTCGTAAGCCCTATATAATGCTGTTATTAGCGAGGACTTAGTGATACAATATTTATAAAGTGCTTAATGCAGTTTCTGGCACACAGTAAGCACTTCAATAAATGGTAGCTATTTTTATTAACAGTATTGTTTGGTTCACTTTACCTTTTTCAAAACAGATTTATTTAATCAAATATTTCTTAAATACTTACTGTTGGTGGAGGTTAGTGCTGGGGATGCAGAGGGAAGAGATCTTGGCCTCTGCTGTCATGGAGCTTACATGACAGGCCCCAAATGTGGCTTGGAGTTTGGTAGCAGCGGATACAAGGAGTGAAACAAACTGGTAACCTCTGAGCATGTTGAGTCCACAAACATGCTTTTTGGTTTGCAGTGTTTTTACAAAAACAATAAAATCTTGTCATCTGTTAAAAAATCAGATTTCACATAAGTATGTATTTATGAAAAAGCTAGTGAAACACAACTGTACTAGAATCCGAGACCTTTTTTTTGAAAGTCTTAAGCAGCATCCCTATAATAAGTCAGTCAGTTTCATTTTTTATAAAATTCCTCAGTATGGCTTGAGAGCACTCTTATCAACCGCCTGGTTTGTACCAGAGAGTTGAAAAATAATGTCAGCGAGGTAGTTTTGAGAAGCCTGATTTTCCATAAAGAAAAGCTTAATTTTTCCACTGTTTTTTAATCACTTTTATATCTGTTGAGAGAAATCTTGAGATTGAGCCTGTTTTCAACACAGCCTGGGCTCAGAACCAAATGCAGACCCATTAGAGTGCAGCGGTGCTTCGGGGATGCCTCTAAGCCATCTTTGCATGTCAGGCTCCCAGAAATGAGCAAGGAAAAGAGCTGCCTGAGCTCCTCTTAATTCTGTTGTAGAAAACCTTGAAAGAATATAGTAGAATATAATACAACTAAAATTTTGTTAGAACACTTGTCCACTTGTGAGCTGAATATCCAGGTCACCCAAAATAGCTGCATGTTTTGTATTAGAAATTAGATTGTTTTTGTTAGTTACATGTAGGCAGTATAGTAATTAGATTTATTATCTGCTTGCTTTTATGCAAATTTCTGAATGTCTTTTAACTAAATGTTGAATGTCTCTGAAAGTACAATATCAGACTTTCACAAGGGGTCTTTCTTCTCTGCTAAAATTTTATAGGAAGTTGCAAACCAGTAATTAGGCAGCAAAGATTATATGCTGAAGGAAATGATTATATGTGGGGTGAATTCTAAAAATAGTATCATTTCTAAATAGCATGAGTCTGCCTTTTCAAAACATCTTTGGTTATTGATCAGAATCTCTTAAGCTGACAGGGTTTGTGCTACCAGTACATTGTGAATCATGCTGCATGATTCATAAAAATATTTGGTTCCCACTAATATGTGAATTCTGAATTAAGTTTCTACCTCCAGGTAAGAAACTATTTTCAGTCATCTCATCAGATTATGGATCTCCTTGAGTACCATTTCTAGGTTAAAAAAATAGGATTCTTTGTTCTTAATAATGCTTGTTCTCAGCGCACCTGCAGCGATTACCAGTCTTGGCCTTCCAAACTTGTTGAGCAACACAAAGCCTTGCTAATTTAAATGCGTAAGCTTCTCAGAGACCTCATTTCCTGAGACCAAGCTGTTTTTATTTCTGTTCTGCACCTATTTAGAATATTAGTCACTTGCAGCGTTATCTTTTCCAGGGTGATCATGGCTTTAAGCAGTCCAAGGACACTGAAGAGAGACTCAAAGTTATCCCCAAGTTTTGTTTTCCCGATTCAAAGGACTGGGTGCCAACCTCAGAACTCAAGAGGTAAGTGGGCTGCTTGATCTGATTTCTCTTGCCTGGAGTTGCAAAAGTAGAATCAGTGTTTGAGAAATGGGTAGACCAGCTGTGAAACGACACCGGGGCAGATCAAGGATGCAGTGAAAGGAAAGGAAGAAACAATTTAAAACATTTCCTATGTGTGATACAAAAAGGAAAGACATCGTAATTTCAGTGTCAAAGGGAAAACAAGTTTAGAGGCTCTTCAGTTTGCCAATCCTGCTGGGAAAAAAAGTTCCACTTGACGTACAATCGGAAATGCCACCAAGTGGACAGAAAAGGAAAAAAATACTTGAGCTTAGGGGCTCTGCTGAGAAGCACAGGTACAACAGAGTGTTTGCTGCCTCTTAGTTTTCCTCCAGCTTGACGGCAACCACAGCCCAGACTCTGTGTTCCCCCGTGGGACATGCACAGGGGAAGGCTCCTCTTTGGGAGGTGTGAGTCTAGTGGGAAGTAAAGACTTTCTTCCCAGAATCTAGAGGAAATGACCACATTAATGAATAAGGCTTGTCATCTCTGAATCCTGCTCATAGAGGCATAACTGCTTTGTTCAGAACTGTAATTATTGATGATGCGGTTTAGGCTGCAAAGCTTGATTATGTGAACATGTCACATGCTGATGGCCTACTGGAGGACAGCCGCCTCTGTTGCCTAAGTAGCTCTGTTCTCCCACCTCATATTGCCTCCAGACTGAGCTGCTGTGTCTCATAACCAGTTGAGCCTGATCCATGCTTCTCTTCAGCCAGCAGTCCTAATGCTTTGTCTTGTCAACGGCACTGCCAACCATGTCAGCAGCTTCTTTCTTTTTTTTTTTTAGATTTATTTATGCATGCATGCTTACAAGAACTGGGGTGTAAGCCAGAGGTGTGGGGAGGGGGGGGTTGATGAAGAGATTCACCAGAGATGGAGTGGGGAGCAGAACAGGTAGATCTACTAAAATGCACTGCTAGGGAGAGCAGCGGGTGAGGTGGGGGAGGTCTGCTGCAACATATGTGGGTCAGCTCCCTGGCTGGGGATGGAACCTAGATCCTAGGGGTGATAATGCCTTGAGCCTTGACCCCTAGGCCACGGGGGAGGTCCAGCAGCTTCTTTCATATGGACTTGGCTCCCTGGTCAGTTTCCTGACCTCTGACAAGTCATGTATGTTTATTCTAGAATGTTCGGAAAATGCAGAGCAGTAAATAAAAAGCAGAAATTAGAAATCATTGGCATTCAGTGATAACCACTGTAAATATTTTAACATATTCTGTTCAATTTTTAATTTTAATCCATAGATAGGAATGTATTCATTGTTCACATTTGGATTTCTTTGATTAAAATTTCTTTGGGCATCTTTTTTTTTTTTTTTTTTTTTTTTTTTTTATTTATTTATTTATTTATTTATTTATTTATTTAAGCAAGCACTAGGTACAGTCAGAAGCGCAGGAGAGTGAGAGAATTCACCAGAGCCAGAGCAGGGAATAGAACAGGTAGACCAATGAAATACACTGCTGAGGGGAGCAGCGGGCGGCAGGAGAGGTCTGCGCGCCATGTGGGACCCTCGCCGGTGGCCAGGGATAAAACCGGTGCTGCAGAGGCTGCGAGCAGCTTTGCAGCCCATCTTACAACTGTTGTGCCACCGGGGAGGTCTTTGGGCATCTTGAAGTGTTCTTTTTTGTAAATTACATGTGCTTCTCTTTTGTTTATGTTTCTAAAGAGGAGCTGATTTTTTGCTTTTGATTTTTATATATTGAGGATATAATCCTTTGCCTATCACTTGTCCGTGTCACCTCTCAAAACTTAATAGAATTTGAAATGGAAAATGTCTTACCAACCCTACCCTTACCCCTACCCCTACCCCTACCCCTACTCCTACCCCTACCCCTACCCCTACCCCAACCCCAGCTAAATTGGACATTCAACAAAAGGAAAACGGACTCGAATCATAGCATGACTGGGTAAATAAGAATGTAGAAAGAGGCAGCGGCCCCTCCAGCCTGTCCTCACCTATGCTGTTCTCACCACTGCAAAGCAAGACTCCCGAGAACTGGACATTCTCCCTCGGGAGGAATATGACTTGCAATAAATGTAATATTGATGCCCCCCTTAGGCCACAAAATGATTGCTGTTAGTCCTTAATTTTTAATTGTGCCATGAAGAATGCCAGTAGCAGTTGTTTGGATCTCAAATTATTAACTATTTTTCAGTGAAACATTCTCCTTTGTCTTGACTGGTGAAGATGGCAGCCGGTGGTTTGGCTACTGCAAGAAGCTCTTGGTAAGTGCCAGACTTGGGCCACAGTCAGAGGTGGTTAAGGAACCGTAGAACCCGACTAGGAACTTCAGGAACAGTCTCTAGATGCATTTGAGGGCTACGCCACGATGTGTGTGTGAAAGAAATGATATTAACTTTAAACCATAAGAACAAATTGGGGGGTTAGCCATGGATTGTTCCAGAATAGAAATGGTATGAATTTATTTTATTATATTTATTTATTTTATATATCAGTCCAGGATATATGTGTGTGTGTGTGTGTGTGTGTGTGTATGTGTGTATGTGTGTATTTGTGGAATGGAGCACAGTAACCCATTTGAAGGAGCTCAGGATTACTTCTCACTTAGATGCCTTCACCAAATTTGGAATAAACCATGCTATCATTTTTAGCATTTTCCCATCTTTCAGTGCCCATTTAGGGTAAGAGCTTTGGTTTCTTCTCTGTACTGAAAAGTGGTAAGAGAGTATTAAAAGTGTCCAGATCAGTAATAACTTGTGCTGCTTAACTTTGTCTTTTAGCCGGAAGGCAGAGGAAAGCGCCTGCCCGAGGTTTACTGCATGGTCAGTCGCCTTGGCTGCTTCAACCTTTTTTCCAAGGTGAGTGGGGCGGGGCCTGTAACCGGGGGTTGTGTCTCTGATGAGCTCACTAAGCAGTGGCAAGTGGCATGCACTGTCACATACCGCTTAAGTAAGTGCTCCCCTTGAGAGCCACAGGTTAGAAGGTTTGAATTCAGATCTCTAATCTAGAGGCTGTTCATCCTCATTTCTATTTGCTAAACCTCCCATTTTAAAGAACCATGACCATGACCTGAAGCTTATCTTCTTTCTCATCTTTCCCAGACCCCAAATTACCAGGTATCATTGTGAGTGTCACTTTTTTTTCCCCTACTTTAGTGAAATGGAAAGGACCCTCTCTTCTAAAAATAAATTGATTTATTTTAATAACTTTACTTGGGGGGTGTAAAAGATAGCCCCAAGAAATACGAGGCCACTGATGAACGTTTTTCCCCCTAAGATTTATTTTTATTTATTTATGCGTATAAGAACTGGGATGGAGGCCAGAGGTGCGGGGGGGTGAGAGGATTCACCAGAGACAGAGTGGGGAACAGAACAGGCAGATCAACCAAAGTACGGGCGAGACAGGAGTAGTCTGCTGTGCTATGTGGGTCAGCTCCCTGGCGGGAGTGGCTGGTGATAGCTTGAAAGTACTGAGATTTTAACCCCTGCGACACCAGGAAGACCCTGATAAACTTTTTTGGTTGTAGCAGCTTATCTGTCTTAAAATCTGTTGGTTATTTTCAAATTTGTGCACTCAATTTGGCAGTCCCTTTAATAGGATCCTCGATGGTTTTGAACTGAATTTGTAATAAAATAGCACTCTGTATGTAGATTCTGGATGAAGTAGAGAAGAGGCGAGAAATGTCTCCGGCTCTGGTCCACCCCTTCATGCGCAGCGTCATGGAGGCGCCTTTCCCTGCTCCTGGGCGCACCATCACGGTGAAGAGCTACCTCCCCGGGGCTGGAGATGGGGTAAGTCTCACGACACTTTGAAAACAGCCCAGAGAGCAGACCTTTCTCTCTCTGAGGTAGGGCCTTTTACACTAAATAGTCAAAAGTCTTAGGGCACGGTTTGTCCTTTCCAGAAACTGTAAAGAATAATATGTGTTAGTCCCCCAAAGTAGGGAGAAATAACCAACTGATTAGTGAGTTAGCTGATCCTAGACCCACTGGAGACAGAGATTTTCTACCATTCGTAGGTGGATCCTACATAATGACAATTTCAATGTGATACATGGAGAGTAGCATACTAGTCAGGTAAAATAATGGATTTTACCAGATTTACAGCACAGAAATAACCTTACTAGGCCTTGGGGTCAGTGGGCAGCTTCACATACTCTTATTTTTTTTAAAAAAAGATTTATTTATGCATACAAGAACTGGGGTACAGGCCAGAGGTACGGGGGTGAGAGGATTCACCAGAAACAGAATGGGAGCAGAAGAGGCAGACTGACTGAAATCCACTGATGAGGGCAGCAGTGGGCAAGACAGGAGAGGTCTGCTGCGCCATGTGGGTCAGCTTCCAGGCCGGAGATCAAACTCATGCTGTAGCAGCTGCCTATAGCTTCTAGTGCTAAGACTTGACCCCTTGCACCACTAGGGAGGCCCAGCTTCACACACTTTGTGTATCAGACCCTCTTCTTTGAATATCACCCATGAAAGAATGATAGGATCCCCCAGTGTTGTCATTAGAGATGTCTCCCTTCCTTAGCTCCCCTGATGAAATTCTTGCATTTCAGTCCATCGAACTCTGCCGGCCGCTGGATTCCCGACTGGAACACGTGGACTTCGAGTGCCTCTTCAGGTGCCTGAGTGTGGGCCACCTCATCCGGGTCTGCGCCTCTCTCCTATTGGAGCGGAGGGTCATCTTTGTCGCCAACAGCCTAAGGTGAGAAATGAGTAAAACGTCACTTCATACTGTTGTTGCTGTTGTAAATTTGGGGGCATATTAAAATACTGGTTACCTAATGCCATAGTGATGTGAATAATTCCAAATGACAAATAACCATGACTTTGGGGGAGGAGGGTGTAATAAATGTACCTTTCTAATTGCTTTTTGCTTAAACTGTTGTTAAAAATTGGTAATACTTTCTAAGCAGACATGAATTTTTAACAATATAAGTTGTGGGACGAGCTGAAAGATTTTTAGTAAGTCATGTTAAAAATTCAAATAAAATGTTAAAAACAAATAGTCACTCCGGATCACTGTGTGATTACCCATTCATCACGGAACACGCACTGACCGGCATCAGTCTGTGGTTCTGTAACATGACACGCGCGGCTCCATCCTTGCGTTGCTCTGTGTGTGACACCGTTCGCTTTCCCTTGCCAGCACCCTGTCGAAATGCGGCCACGCTGCGGTCGCCACTCTGTACCCGTTCACCTGGCAGCACACCTACATCCCCGTCCTGCCCGTGTCCATGATCGACATAGTGTGCTCGCCCACTCCATTCCTCATCGGGATCCTGTCCTGCTCCTTACCGCAGCTCCAGGACCTGCCCGTCGAAGAGGTGAGATGGGAGACGTAGCACCTGGCATATATATAAGATAGATAGCTGCATCCAAAGTCCCATCTGGCTTTTTTTTTTTTTTTTTTTTGCATACAAGAATTGGGGTGTAGGCCAGAGGTGCAGGTGGTGGGTGTGTGTGAGAGAGGATTCAGCAGAGACAGAGTGGGAAGCAGAACGGACAGATGTACTGAAATACACTGCTGAGGGGAGCAGCAGGCGAGACAGGAGAGGTCTGCTGTGCCATGTGGGTCAGCTCCCTGGCGAGGGAGCTTCACAGTGCTGCATCTTAACCCCTTGCACCACCAGGGAGGCCCAGAGGCCTTCCTTTTTTTTTTTTTTTTTAAAGTGAAACTTCCAGTTACAAGGTAAGTAAGTTCTGGAGTATAATGTACATCATGGTAACCATAATTGACAATATTATATTCTATATTTGAGAGTTTATAAGAAAGTAGATCTTAAAAGTTCTCATGACAGTGAAAAAAAATGGTGTAGCCATGTAGCATGGCGTTTCTCTGGGCCAAACTGCCATGGCGGCCAGTGCTGCTGCCCCCAACGCTGAGGGGCTGCACGATGCCACACACTGGCTCCTCCTTAGCCTGCAACATGGACATGGACTGTTGACCGGCAGGAAGTGTCATTGCTGCAGAACTGCGGATTGTGGCTCTTGTATTTGCAGCTCCATGTGCATTTCAGATTTGGAAACTTCTAGAACAATTAATCCCAAAACTGCAAAGATTGTGGAAATGTTGATGGGTTAACTTTTAAATGGGCTATGACTTTGAGTTAATTTTGTTTAAAACTAGTCCCACCTCTTGAAAGTATCAAGACATAATCCTGATCCAGCACTGGCTGATACATTTCTCTGTGAATGTCTCTCCGGTTTAACTTGTCTGGCTTCTTCGTCCCATAGGTGCTGATAGTTGATCTCTGTGCTGACAAGTTCTTACAGGAGGTGAGTGACAAAAGAGGTGATTATATAATGTTTGGTGATAATTGAACAGAACATCTATGAAAGTGCCTAGAGAAGGTGACTCAGACAAGGTTCTTAGTTCTTATACATTCTTACTTGACACACAATCATAAGAGATTGACCTGAAAAATCTGGCTTGGGTTTAGAACTGTTTATCTCAAAGAAGGAAGAAGGAAACAGATTAAGTGCCAGTCTCAAAAGATGGGTTGACATATAAGCCTGTAATTTAATGAAATATAACAAAGCATGTATTAAGCATCAGTTATTTCTAGGCTGGCAGAATCAAAAGACAGCAAGAGACAGTCTGAGCCCTCAGACCTTATAGTCGAATGGATTAGGGAATAGATACATCCATGAAATTTTAGGAATGATAGAATGGAAATTTGTATAGTGTATAGGTGGAGCATAAAAGATGTGGTCATTTATTCTGGGTATTGAACTGGAAGGGGGAGTTAGTAAAATCATCTTAGATCAACCTTCTGTATGTAACCTGTACATAGATTTGTCAGCAGTGAGCACATGGTGATTAAAAAAAAATGTTTCCCAAGACTTTGTCTTTTTAAAAATCAATTAGCTGATCACACTTGAAACACAATTATTTGGGGATGATTTTTGTAATATAGCATATGATCTATAGATGAGATCATTGGTAGGAAAATGCCAGGTGGTTTAATGAAGTGTATGCATTTTTTAAAAATATAGTTAAGATAATATGGGTTCTTCTCAGTGCACGGAAGGAAGTTTCAGACTGACTCTTTAACCCAAATACATACAAAGTCATCTGTTGAATTTTGGGGACCCAAACTAGTGCATGTTTGAGACTTTCTCTCTCAAAGCACATGAAAAAAAATCTCCATTTCTTCTCTTAAGGTGTCTGATGAGGATGAAATTCTACCACCTAAACTCCAAGCTGCCCTAATGCAGATTTTGGAAGAACGAAATGAAATCTTGACTCAGGAGCCGAATTTTTCACAAGGTATGCAACAAATAGGCTGAGAACTTACGGTCAAGGTGGCAAATATTTTCTGAATGCCCAGCACCCTGCTAAGGGATAGACAATAGTAGAATGAGTTTTCCTGGGTCTTGAGAAACTTATAGCTGGCTTCCTTGCTGATCCTCAGATGGGCAAGCCTCTTCCATTGCAGGACCTTTGCACATACTTAGTGCTCTTTACAGGATGCTGTTTCCCCAGATAGCCACCTGATTCCTGCTTTCCTCCCTCTGGCTCATGTTCAGTGTCGCTTTCTCAGTGAGGCCAGATGCAAGAAATCTAAATTGGATCATTACATCTGTAAGGCACCTAATACAATGTTTGACATATCTTAAGTACTCATTTTGTTCAAGATGCATGTGGAATGGGACAGATGAGAAACTAACCTGCTTGAGGAAATACAATGATTTAGGCCTTGCAAAACAGGACCTGATTTGGTAACTTTTAGATAAATAGAATGTAAGTGCTATTGGGGCAGCCAGATGATGATGATGACCCATAGATAGCCTGAAAGATAATGGTGAGATTTGGTGCAATATCTGGCTGGAGACCTGAGGTTGGACATTATTAATTCGGGGAGCCACTATCTCTGAGAAGGGGTGGGCTGAGTCCAATGCTCAAGAAGAGGCAAGAGAGAAACAAACGCATGGTCATCAGGCAGGAGAGGGATGGAGAAGTCAGAAGAGCAAGAAGTGGGAGACAAGGAAGGAGGAGGTGGTCAGCACAAGTGCTGCACGTAGTGTAAAGCAGGTAAAAATGGGAAAACAGATTCAATTTGGTCTCACTGGTGGACTTGGAAAGAGCAGTTACAGGGAAATCACGGATGTGTATTCCAGGTTGAGAGATGTAATAAAGTGGGGGAGAGGAGAGGAGGTGGGGCTGGAGGTCAGGATAGAAGCCATTTGCTTCTTGCAAGGACGCTAGGAAGGAGGATCCTGCATTTACACTCAGTCCTTTCATCGGTGCTTGCCTTGGCATCCCTTCTGTAACCAGAGCCGGTGTCCCCAGAAACACAGTTTTAGGAGACCTTTTTTCTTTTATGTTGCAGCAGACGTGACACTCAACTCTCTGGTGTCCGAAGCATTTGTCAGGTTTTTTGTGGAGCTGGTGGGACATTATTCTTTGAACATGACTGTCACAGAGCGTGGGGAACGCGTCTTCCAGAGGGAGCCTTTCCGCAAGTCCCACACCTCCCGGAGCGTCCGCCACTTCCTGGACCTCTTCATGGAAACGCAGATGTTCGCCGGATTCATTCAGGACCGAGAGCTTCGGAAAAGTGGGGTGAAAGGTCAGTCTCATCATAAAGTTCTCCCTTTGTATTGAGTGAGCATTTGAAGGTTTGAAAATAATCAAAATAGAAAATAGGTTAGGGCCTCCCTGGTGGCGCAGCGGTTGAGCACTGGGTTGCAAAGCTGCCTGCAGCCTCTGCAGCGCCGGTTCGATCCCTGGCTGCTCCCCAGCGCTGAGGAGGGTCCCACATAGCACACAGACCTCTCCTGCCACCCGCTGCTCCCCTCAGCAGTGTGCCTCAGTCCTTCTGCCTGCTCTGCTCCCCGCTCTGGCTCTGGTGAATTCTCTCACCCTCCCGCGCTTCTGACTGTACCCAGTGCTTGTATAAATAAATAAAAATAAATCTTTTAAAAAAAAAGAAAAGAAAATAGGTTGAAGCTACAAGGGCTCAACATTGGAGTCATTTATTACCAGAAATGTTTATTTTTGTAATACTGTTTAGTTACAGAAATACATTGGGAGTAAACAGAGTTTTACTTGATTTGCAGACCTGAAGTGTTAGACAGTCTGACCAATGTGACTTTTCCGCCTAGGTTTGTTTGAGGTCCGGGCCCTCCAATATTTGGAAACAATTCCTGAGTCTGAGCCCAGTGGGGTGAATAGAATTTTGCGGAGTCTTGGTAAGTTGCTGTTTTCCTGATAGATAAATGTGGTTGAAAGTTCTGAAACAGCTTGCCTTATCACAAAGCTGTGAAACCAGATCAGCAATAGACCCTCAAGCATCCTGACCAGAAGCCAGGACCCTATGTCAAATGTGGAGAAAGAGAAGTCTTCAGACACTGGGATTTGCCGCCAGAGTTGTCCACAGTTGTTCTTCAAATGTAGCTCCCTCTTAAAAGAATTCGCATATCATGATTATTAATCTTTCCTAAGTAAAAATCCCTTGGAGAACTTTTATACCAACAATGGCTTCTTTTCACAGAAAAATACTTGAGAATGCAAGTTTTGTCTTTAATTTTAGGGTGGTTTGTGGAGCCCCCTGAAACCCAGCCATGGATTCCAGATTTAAAACATCTGATTTGGAGGGCATGAGGCAAAAGAGAATTTGCTCAAGTCTCTAATTTTACACTTCGTAATGAAATACGGTTGTTTATGACTTTTCAATTCTATTAAACTTTTAATTATTTAAAATGCTAGAGAGAACAGTGGTGTGGTAGCCCAAAATAATGAAGAATCCTTGTTCTGTGGTATTTATGTATGCCTGTCCCTAATTAAAATTAAACCCTAACCTTAACTAGCTGAGAGACCATGGACGAATTATGCCTTTGTCTACTAGTTCATCTTTATAGGACGAATTATATCTTTGTCTGCTAGTTCATCTTTATAACATGGGGTTAGAGTAGATGTATGGATCTTAGCTGACTACAGTGTTATAATCTGTGGGGAGCTTAAATAAAAATCATCTCCCCTGCCCCCTTTTCCCTACCCCAGGCTACAAGAAATCTCTGGTGAGCAGGCCAAGTGATTTTAACTACACTCAGGATTAGCTGATCTCTGAGTTCTTTTCTACTTCTACAGTTAAAGACACTTGGGAGGTGGTGAAACACAGCAGTTGAAAGTTTCAGATGGGAGCTTACTTCTGGGTGGTTCTAAATGGCTAGGTTGTTAATTCCTTACTTCGAATAATGTACAATTAATACAAATGAACTAACGAGATTTCACTGTTTGTTCTCCCTTTAGGAAGTAAAATGAAATTTCTGCAGAAGAAATAAATCTGGTTGTCTGCATTCTAAATAGAACAGAAAGTGCCAAAGAAAATATTTTTTCCAAGAGTCAAGATGCCCCAAAGTATTCCACAAGATCCTTGAAAGATGAAGATTACAGAGCAGGCCAGATTCTCAGAGGAGCATTCTCCTGTTGCTGCTGTAGTATTCACTGGAAGAGTCTGGAACTAATGCTTTTTGTTCGGCCTCCGTATTTTTTAAGTGCCTTTTTTGTTTCATTTTTGGGTTTATTCTTTGTGTTTTGTGCTTAGTCTATGAATGCACTTGTCTTTAACAAGGGAAAGACCTGATGTTGCATTTTAATTGTTCAAAGACGAACATGAGTTAAGGAACTAGGGGAGCGTGACAGAAATGGAGCCTCCTGCCCCTGCACGCACAATTCTCATACCCGAAATATCATGGCAGCTTTAAACCAGTGGGCGGTTTGACCTAAGGAATATACTTACATCTCCTTTTTGTTGATCTGATGTTTTGTCTCAAGAATCTCGCCTTTGTGGAAGTGCTATTAGCTCTGCTATTGAGTATCTTACAAAGGTAGACATCTTGCAGCTCCTCCACATTGTGTGGTACTTCAGTGGCTTGCCCCTTATGCATCAACATTAAACTCTGTAATTACAGCTTAAATAGGAAAATGTCCTTTCAAGGGAATGAGAACTACCTTTTTTTTTCTTTTTCTTTTTTCTTTTTTTTATATTTAAAGAGCAGGTTTATTAGGGAAAGGGACAGAAGAATAAAGGACACTTGCATAGACACAAGAGGGCAGGAAGAGCTGCCCCAAAAAGGACAGGTTTGCTGAGAGAGGCCTGCATGGTTGCAGGCAGGCAGCCTTGGGGAGCGATGCCCTGTTGAGGGAGGTCAGTGAAGAGAAGCCCTGGCATGATACAGGTCATGGGCATCCAGAAAGCTGCTGCCCTGCAGAGGGAGAGAGTTGGTGAAAGGAAGCACCTGTATAGTCCCAGGTGGGCAGAGGGAATGCTGCTGAGAACTACCTTTTTTTAAAAAAGTGCCCACCATGTGCCATGCATTATGGTACAATTATGTTATCTTATTGAGTCATGAAATCGACTTTATAAGATACATCTTGCATCTCCATTTTTGTAATGAAGAAACTGGAATTCAAACAGGTTAAATAACTTGTGCAGAGTTATACAACAGCAAGAACTGAAGCCAGACTATAATTGTATGAACACAGAAAGTTGGTTAGTCCCACCAATGGAAATTGGAGCTCTGTAGGATGACAGCTATTTCTTTTAAGGTGAATTGTACCAAAGCCAGTTCTGAGGATAAGGGACTTCAAATTATAAATGATTATCATTTTAGTGCCCTTAGGATTGTTGGACACTCTGCTCTAAGAAAATTAAGATGCAGAATGTGAACATTTCCTGGGCACATACCACTTACTATCGACCCATCTTAATATCTAAATGATAGTGATTGCAAAGAATTTGTCAATGATTGGGCAGTTTTCATTGACATAGGCATAGCAAATGTCATTTTGTTTTTTTAAACCCCTGCTGATGCTTTTAACTGGCATAAAAATATTTGGATTTAACAAAATCTTACAACTTGTATTATGATAGTTTATTGACTTGTACAGTATTGTCATTACAACCCATTCAGGTGTGCCTGAATGAATTTGAAGCAGACAAATGCTGTGTAATTCTCGTAGATGTGGGTCCAGAAAAATGAACTGAGCCTATGTCTTTTTAAAAGTGTTTATTAATAAGCAGCTTACCACAGTATGGCTCTTACCAGCTAATATCCCCGACTGGTCACTTGAGACACTCCAATGTTGAGGGAACAATTAGTAATCTGGAATTGAGTGTTTTTCAAATGGGGTGTATGTATAAGGACTTACTGTGGTGGATCTTGGCGATCCCTCTGTGAGGAGACCTTTCTTCAGGAATTGGTGGTGTCTTATTTTATCCCCCTCTATCTGAAGCTGCTTCGTGTTCCTAGGTCTGTTTTATGGGGGGTTTTTTGTACAGTATTAATTCTGGACATGTTTGTAAAGGAATTGAAGATTTGTATAAAATGTTGTTTACAGATCTTTTAATGAATAAACAAAAATTCCACGGGCCTTTTGGAGAATTTTAAATAAAATTGCTTCAGATGTAAAGACCTTTTATCTAATGATAGGTTGAAAGATGATCAGAACGACTCCTAATAATCAAGCTTATTAACAGTGGATGACATTTCCAGGCTCTTGGAAGACAAAATCTGAGTTTAGATTGCACACCGGGCAGCTTATCAACACGCTGCCTTATTTAGTCTTGGCCTGAATTAGTCCAAGGGCGTTGGGCTCCTCGGAGCACAGACCGACCGTGCATGGGCAGCAGCGTGAGAGGTTGGGCGGAAAGGGGAGCGCTGTTTTAAAGTTCTAAAAGCAAAATAACTGGGTTATATATATGCCCTCGTGAGGGGGAAAGGATGTCGGGGTCGCCCTGTAACACCCTGATGGCGAAATACCAGGACTTAATGGTGGGGTGAATGGGTAGTTACAGATACGCTATGGAGGGCGATCGGGTTCCTTTTGCTAGGTAGACCCCAAAGCTACATCATTTCACTGGACGCCGACGCCCACTCTGCATTTACCCACAATTTCTTGGGGCGCGAGAACAAAGAACAGGGGCGCTCCAGCAAGGAGACTCAAGGGTGAGGGGGCGACCCAACCAAGGGCTAGAAGCTTCGGGGGAAGAGGTGGAAACATTCGCGCTCCCCGCCACATCATGCGGCCGGCCGCCTGCAGACGCTGTGACGGCTCCTCCTGCAGAGGAGGAGGAAACCAAAGTCTCAACGCGCCACACCGCGGCCCAGTCGGAGGCAAATGAAGGCGCAAGCGTGGGCCGGGAAATTCACGGCGCCCCTGCAGCGGGGAAACCAGGAAGTGACGTCACGGCAGAACAAAACAAAATGGCCGAGCCCTTCCCAGGGGCCGGGCGCGCCCGCCTTCGGAATCAACTGAGCATGCGCCGAAGCCGTTCTTCGGCGACGCGGGTGACGTCAGTGGTGGGCGCATGCGTAAATTCAATGGGCTGGAACCTGCGCAGCCCAGGGCTCTCCGGCTAACCTGAGGATGGCGGGCACGGGGCTGGTGGCTGGGGAGGTGGTGGTGGATGCGCTCCCCTATTTTGACCAAGGCTATGAAGCGCCCGGTGTGCGGGAAGCGGTGAGTGCGGGGGTCTCCAGTGGCTCGGCGCTCCTGGCCGTGAGTGCTGGAGGCCGCGCCCTAACACCTGCCGCCCCCCCAACTCCCCCCCCCCCGCCCCCCGGCCCTGTTCTTGCTTTCAGGCTGCGGCGTTGGTGGAGGAGGAAACCCGCAGATACCGACCTACTAAGAACTACCTGAGCTACCTGACGGCCCCGGACTATTCTGCCTTTGAAGTAAGTATGATGTCGTGAGCCAGCGCATGCAGCGGGATTCCTGTGCATCATTATTTTGAATGGGGAGCCTCAGTGATGGAGACGTGAAATTTAAATTCCAGCTTTGACGGTTGCTCGCTTAGCTGCTCCTCACCCTGTGGTGTAGATAGGAGCAGTCCATTGAAAACAGCTGGATAGATAAGCCTTATCCGAGGTTCTAATTCTGAAACGCACAGAAGGACCTTTGGGGCTCCACGAACTAGCTGTTTTGATGCAAAAAAATTGGCCCGTACGTTTTTCTGAGTTAGATTCTTGTGTAAATTCTCAAGGAGATGCTACTTTAAGGTACGTTATAAAACAACTGACGTAGGATTTCTTTTATGTATCGCCTAAGCTCTTGAAAACCACTGGAGGGCGTCCTGTAGCAAAGCCTAAATACTTACGTAATGAATGTGAATGAATGACTGCGAACCATATCTAGGTGTACATCTTACATTAAATATTTGGCCTAGAAGTACTCGGATTTAGGGTCTCATCGGTTAACTGAAATGTAAAATATCATTTCTGAATTAGTGGGTTCTGTTTAGCAATTTGCTACATATATGTGCTTGCCCAAAGGATACCCATATATTTATAAAAGACTTCTGTTATTGAAATTACAGTATTACAGGTCAAAACTCCCGTGCTGATCAGTAGTGGGATCGCGCCTGTGAATAGCCACTGCACTCCAGCCTGGGCAACATAGCGAGACCCCGTCTCTAAAAAAACAAAAACAAAAACAAAAAAGAAATACAGTATTATATTGAAGTAACATGAAAAAAAATACTGATTGAGTTTTAGAGAGATGAAATACTGTTTTCTGATGTTTTTTCTAAAGGTTAATGAAGGAGGAAGTTAGGAAATGGATATGTATAGAGGCAGTCAGTAGGAAAAGAGTGCCCTGAGCCCCAAGTCTGAGAAACAGTCGCAGACCAAGATGGGGATGGTGCCACATGCACCCCTCCCCAATTTAACTAAAAATGGAATGTTCAGAACAGCAACCTAATAACACAATAGCAGTGGACTAAAGCTGAGTAATGTGGGAAAACTCAGTGGGCCTTGGTTGCCTAGGAGACTCCAGCAGGCCCAACCAATGGGCTAGAGACAGAATGGAGACACCTAATGGCCATACCCCCATTTCTTGTCCCCTGCACCTATATAAGCACCTACTTCCTACCACCTTAGTGGCTACCCACTGGAGACCCTTCTCCACTTGGAGAGCTTTCCTGTTCTTCCTACCTACCTATTAATAAACCTCTTGCTTTATCTTTACCTTTGGTCTGAATATTGAATTTTTTGCTTGCAGAAGACAACTGAGAAAGAGCCTGCCTGGCGTCCTCAGACTCTAGGCCTGCTCCCATTAAAACCCCGATTCATTACCCAAATGCATCAGATTTAGAACTAAGTACAGTGATGTTTATTGTTGAGATTTCTGAAAACTAGATGATAGCATTCGATCACAGACTTTTAAATATTTTAACCAGTTTTCTTTTTAATGCTCTTGAATACAACATATGCTTGTTTTCCTTTTAATTAGTATAAAGATGTTTTAACTTTTTGTAATAATGGGAGCTAACAGTGTACTGGGCTCACATTTCAGTCTCAAAAAGAACACTGAACTCTACTACTATATATTTATTATCCTTATTTTTTGATGGGAAAACTGGCGTTTAGAGGCTAATTGCCCAAGTCTTTCACCTCACCTCAAACTGTCTTATTTTATTTTAAAGATTTATTTATTTATACAAGCACTGGGGTACAGGCCAGAGGTGGGAGGGTGAGACAATCCACCAGAGACGGAGCAGGGAGCAGAACAGGCAGAAAGACCGAAATACACTGCTGAGGGGAGCAGTGGGCGAGACAGGGGAGGTCTGTCATGCCGGGTGGGAATCTCGCCAGCCAAGTGGGAATCACACCAGCATGACGAAGGCTGCGGACAGCTTCATAGCGCTGCGCTTAACTGGCTGTGCCACCACCGAGGCCCAAACAATCTTATTTTAACAGCTATTATGATGGTCTATTCTATGCCAGTTACTGGGGAACAGGATAGGCAAGACCCCACTTGTGGAGTTAACATTCTAAAGTGTGGGGACAAATAAATGAGAGAATAGCGGATTAATGACAAAACTATACAGAGAAAGTAACCATGTGACCTAGAGTGGGTGATTACTTTAGATAGCCAATTGAAGAAGGACTGCCTAAGCTAAGCTGAGACCTGCTCCATGGTCTTAATTTAGCTTTGTGAGCCTTGGTAAGAGTTGAGTTAAAATTTCAGAACTCTCAGTTATTGGCCATGTAAATTATAAGGGCTCTAATGTTACATGGCTCAAGAAGACTACATGCGTATTTATGGTTTCTCATCTAGTCTAATAAGATAGTCATAGTCCTCCCAGAAATTATATGGAATAGCTGAGATATTTTAATGAATATTTCTCTTAGCAGTTTTTTATACGCAGGATAGAAAAGGTGGAGAAGATAAATAGAATAGGCTATTGACCAAAATATTAGACTTAAAGAAAGTTAGGGTTTTTTTAAATTTTTATTTATTTATTAGAATTTATTTATTTATATAAGAACCGGGGTACAGGCCAGATTCGCGGGAGGGTGAGAAGATTCACCAGAAACAGAGCAGCGAACAGAACAGGCAGACTGACGAATCACACTGCTGAGGGGAGCAGCTGGCGCGACAGGAGAGGTCTGCCGCGCCATGTGGGACCCTCGCTGACCAGCCAGGATTGAACAGCACTGCAGAGGCTGCGGGCAGCTTCCCAGCGCTGCGCTCAACTGCCTGTGCCACCAGGGGAGGTCTTAGGGTTTTTTTAATTAGTAAAATTGTTAGAGCAGATAGAACCAGTTCTTTTTGTCCCTTTTTTCTCCAGTCTTTGCAAAAAGCAAATTGTGAAAATGTAGCAAGAACCAAAAAGAATGTATAGGTTTATGCTCATAGCCCTAAAGCACATTACTTTATGTCCAAGTCCTTTCCTCTCCTCACCCCCTGCCCATGAATATTTAGATCTGTGGTTCTCAACACTAAGCTTCACTTTATGAAGTGAGTTAAAAGTCATAATCCTGTCATTCTCCACCTGAGAATGGAGTGAGGGAGAGGGATGAGATGTCACTGGGATTGGAGTTATTTTCCCCTGATTGTAATGTGCTGCTGGGACTGAGAACCACTGGTCTGGGATTAATCCTTTCCTCTATGGGCCCCTTTACAAATGAAGACAGGGTGTATGCAAGCCTCTTCTCCAGATCGCAGAGAGCTTTTAACCCGGAAAAGACTCAGAGATAAGAATATAACCCATTATGATGGGTAGTATAAAATTTGGATATGTAAGTAGGTTATATTTCTTCTCTGTTTGGTGACAGTTAATTTTAGTTTGTTGATAAGAGATTGGAAGTAATTCTTTCTCATTTATACATCAGACTGACATAATGAGAAATGAATTTGAAAGACTGGCTGCTCGACAACCAATTGAATTGCTCAGTATGAAACGGTAAGTCCTATTTCTGGATTCAGCTGGGCCCAAATCACTGCTTTGTGACACTTTTGTTTAGCTGTGTGTATCTGTATACAGGATCATAGTGGGGAAAGATTTTTACTGAAGTTTGATCAATTTCCTGATCCTAATTGTATATCCTTCTTTTATTCATAGGTATAGCTTGGAGTTTTAACAGTAGCTAGTAAAATACTAAAGTGGAAATTAGAAGTAGTTTGTTGTAGCTCACTGATAATGAGCTGAGATTTATGATGAGTGTGTTTGTGGCTATATTGGCAGTGCTGACGGACTCTGTAATGTGAAAAAAGGAATTAGAGTGGTCCAAATGCAAATAATTTTTTTTAAAGATTTATTTATGCATATAAGAACTGGGGTACAGGCCAGAGGTGTGGGAGGTGAGAGGATTCACCAGAGACAGCAGGGAACAGAACAGGCAGATTGACTGAAATACACTGCTGAGGGGAGCAGCAGGTGAGTCCAGAGAGGTCTAATGCACCATGTGGGTTGCTCCCTGGCAGGCCAGGGATCGAACTTGGGCTGCAGAGGCTACAGATAGCTTCATAGGTTGTGTCTTAACCCCTTGCACTACCAGGGAGGCCCCCCAAATGCAAAGAATTATTATTTCCCTTTTTTTCTCTAGAGGAGTGTGGCTGTGTGGGTAGATGCCTGGAAGCACTGATGGGTGATGGATGTAGGTGTGTGTTAACAAAAATGATAGTGTCTTGTATTCAGTTTTTTCCCTTAATAAATTACAAGCATCTTAATGGGCTCACAAAACAGTCCTTTACATGAATCTGTTGTAATCATTTTTTTGTTCCTGTATATGTTGATGCTCATGTGAGTTTATTGTTCATAGAATAAATAGTTTTCTATTGCAAGATCTGCTTCTTCAGTCTTCTGTAGTTTATACAGTGTGCATAGACCTCTAAGGCATTCTGTTGGGAGGAGGGAGGTTTTGAGAATATGCCGTTTTAATTTATTGTTATTTAATTACAGGTATGAACTTCCAGCCCCTTCCTCGGGACAGAAAAATGATATTACTGCTTGGCAGGAATGTGTAAACAATTCTATGGCCCAGTTAGAACATCAAGCAGTTCGAATTGAGAATCTGGAACTGATGTCACAGCATGGATGCAATGCCTGGAAAGTATATAATGAGTAAGAAGCCATTTTTCTTTTTTTTAAACCCATTCCTTTACACCTTTGGTATTTTTTTTAAATGTGAGATTTAGGACCCAGAAAGTGGAATAAAAATAGTATTACTACACTTTGACTTGAGATCATGTGCTAGAACTACAGCCTGTATGAAAAGCTGCTACTTTGAAACTGAACTCAAAATTTAAAGAGTATTAAGGGGACCTAAAACTATCACATTAATTATATAATACTTAAAAAAAAAAAAAGTAAAATACAGGGACTGAAATCTACCCTTGAATCATTTCTCTAATGGTAATTATCACTTGTAACTTTATGTGATTAGTCTTAGAGCCAAATTGTACTAGACTGAATCTCTCAAGTGTTCCACAAAAGTTTTTGTTTTTTCTCTTTCTCTCCACTTAGCAATAGACAGAAGGGGAGAATACAGTAAATGTAGATACAGAAACAGGGGTAAAAAGAAATTTGAATGGGTATACTCATATCAGATATCTTCCATCTTCTCTATGAAAAGGAGTGATAGTTTATGGGCCTACCTGGTGGCACAAGGGGTTAAGCGTCAGTACTATATAGCAATCCGCAGCTACTACAGCATGAATTTGACCCCCAGCAAAGGAGCTGACTGACATGGTGAAGCAGAACTCTACTGTATTGCCCACTGCTCCCTTCAGCAGTGTATTTTGGTGGATCTGCCTGTTCTGCTCCCCACTCTGTTTCTGGTGAATCCTCTCATCTCCCTGCACCTCTGACCTACACCCCAGCTTTGTATGCATAAATAAATACATCTTTTTTTTTTTTTCAAAGATTTATTCATTTATTTATATAAGAACCGGGGTACAGGCCAGATTCGTGGGAGGGTCAGAGGATTCACCAGAGACAGAGTGAGGAACAGAACAGGCAGACTGACGAAATACACTGCTGAGGGGCGCAGTGGGCGAGTCAGGAGAGGTCTACTGTGCCATGTGGGATTCTCGCCTGCCAGCCGGGATCAGACCGGTGCTTCAGAGGCTGCGTACAGCTTCACAGAGCTGTGTTCAACCACCTGCGCCACCAGGGGAGGCCCGCATCTTTTTTTTAAAATGATAGTTTATGAAGTGACATAAGTATATAAAATCAGAATGTCAGTAAACTGCTTGGACTTGAGAATTTAGAAGACCTGAAATAGAATTCAGCTCTGATACTTACTCATGTTCCTTAACCAAGTGACTTAAGCTTTCTAGACTTTGTTTTCTCATGTTAATGGGGATGATACCTACCTCAGGGAATTCTTGTGAATTAGCCAATATTTATAGAGTGTCATTGTTTGCCACAGAAAACTCAGTAAATATTAAATATTTTTAGCAGAAAATCTTGACCCTTGTATAGACCAGATCATTTTAGTTGGTACTATTAAATTTTAATGTACATTAATCTGATTTTCCTCATTTCCTTCCTTAGAAATCTAGTTCATATGATTGAACATGCACAGAAAGAGCTCCAGAAGTTAAGGTAAGTTTTTTTTCCCTCCTATTTTAGAATAAAGTTTAAACAAATCATTAATAACTGAGGTAAGAAGAAAAAGAAACAAATGGACTATAGTGACAAATAGTGAAAAATCGATGGTCCATTCTGCCCAGCATCTGACTGATGTTTACCTGCCTGAGTGCAGCGGTAGACCTGGGGACTGAAAACCTCTCTACCAGGTCTTTTGTTTTTTCTCCAGCATTAAGAATTTTTTAGGGCCTCCCCGGTGGCACAGCGGTTGAGCACTGGGCTGTGAATCTGCCTGCAGCCTCTGCAGCTCCGGTTCGATCCTCGGCTGCCAGTGAGTGTTCCACATGGTGTGCAGACCTCACCTGCCGTGCCCGCTGCTCCCCTCAGCAGTGTACTTCGGTCCTTCTGCCTGTTCTGGCTCTGGTGAATTCTCTCACCCTCCCATGCTTCTGACTGTACCCAGTGCTTGTATAAATAAATAAATAAATCTTTTAAAAAAAAAAGAGAATTTTTTGTTATTTAATTTGGTTTTCTTCCTGCCACTGTCCTTAACACTTTTGATCCTTTCTGCATCCACTAATTTTTATCAGTATTTTGCTGTGTCAGGTCATCTGCTATGTAAGTGTCCAGTATTTGTCATTCTCATTTGCTTTAGTGCACATTATTCCCTTGAACTCCTTTCATATTGCTGTAAATAGCAACATTTCATCTTTCTCTGGCTGAATAGAATCCCATGGCATGGGTATGCCACACCTTTTTAATCCAGTCAGCCGTCAGTGGACATTAAGATTTTTCCATGTCGGGCCTCCCCTGGTGGCGCAGCGGTTGAGCGCTGGGTTGTGAAGCTGCCCGCAGCCTCTGCAGTGCCAGTTCGATCCCCGGCTACCGGCGAGGGTTCCACATGGCGTGCACACCTCTGCTGCGCCCACTGCTCCCCTCAGCAGTGTATTTCGTCCGTCTGCCTGTTCTGTTTCCCACTCTGGCTCTGGTGAATTCTCTCACCCTCCCGCGCTTCTGACTGTACCTGTACCCAGTGCTTGTATAAATAAATAAAATCTTAAAAAAAAAAAAAAAAAAAAGATTTTTTTTCCATGTCATGGCTATTGTAAATAATACCGTAGTAAACAATGTAAAACATAGAATATTTTGAGTTGATGATTTTATTTATAATTTGCAAGGCTATAGATTGAAAAGACCCTTTCAGGAGGAGAAGTTGCAGAATGACATTTATAATATGATTTATGTTGAAAATTTAAAAAAATACATTTTCTACATGTACATATACATGTATTCTAGAAGGATACCCACCAAAAACTGAACAGTGGTTATCACAGGGGGAGAAACTTTCAATTATTTATGTGTCTGTGTTTAATTTTTCACAATGAGCATGTTTTAATTTGTAATTGAAAAATAATTAGGGGGAAGTTCCTGGAATTAGTGTCTGTATATATCTGTTCTTCTCAAGGAATTAAAGATACTGTATTGTTTATACATTTTTCTGTGATTTTATGTTAATGTAGTTGGGTTATATTAATAATTTTTAATTTCCCAGGAAACACATTCAAGATTTAAACTGGCAGCGAAAGAACATGCAACTCACAGCTGGATCTAAATTAAGAGAGATGGAGTCAAAGTGAGTCTCTACAATTCCATCATTTTTCAAATTGCTAAATACACTTTAAAGTCAAAATTCAGGAATATGATTCAAAGCTACTTAAACAGAGTGCACAGAGGTCCTGTGTTCTGCGTCCTGCGCTTGACCTCCCTGCCTCTGTCTGAAGTGTCATCTTAGAATGCCATGAGAGGGCCTTCCCGGTGGCGCAGCGGTTGAGCACTGGGTTGTGAAGCCGCCCGCGGCCTCTGCGGCACCAGTTTGATCCCCGGCTGCTCCCCGGCCACCGGAGGAGGGTCCCGCATGGCCACAGACCTCTCCTGCCGCCCGCTGCTCCCCTCAGCAGTGTACTTCGGTCCTTCTGCCTGCTCTGCTCCCCGCTCTGGCTCTGGTGAATTCTCTCACCCTCCCGCGCTTCTGACTGTACCCAGTGCATGTATAAACAAAACAAACAAATAAATAAATAAAAACATGCCTCTATTAAAAAAAAAAAAAAAAAAAAAAAGAATGCCATGAGAATTATAAAAAAAAAAAAAAAAAAAAACCACCGATAAAGGATACTGGTCTTATTTTTTTGCTCTGAATAGAATTATATATTCTTATAAAAGGAGAAAAATTTTTGACTTGCAAGATTTCCATATTTTCTCAAAAATTTGTCTTAATTCTACCTGTTTATATATTTTGTTTTAAAAATGTTCTTCATTTACAAAACTAAGTTGGTACATGTTCCTAAATATCAGCATGAATTTTGCATCATTTTTTCCCTTTTTTTGGCTTTCCCTCTTCCTCCATGTATCCCATATTATTGATCGGTTAGGCATCTTTTTATATTTTTCTTGGGCTAATAGGATCTTCTAAATATGCATGTGTGTTTCTTCTCATTTGTCCTAGAGATTTTCTGGGGAAAGGGAGTAGCTTCTTGAATCTGGAATTTTTTTTTTTTTTTTTTTTAATAGAGGCATGCTTTATTTATTTGTTTGCTGGTTTGTTTGTTTGTTTTTTGTTTATACATGCACTGGGTACAGTCAGAAGCGCGGGAGGGTGAGAGAATTCACCAGAGCCAGAAGGGGAGCAGAGCAGGCAGAAGGACCGAAGTACACTGCTGAGGGGAGCAGCGGGCGGCAGGAGAGGTCTGTGCGCCATGTGGGACCCTCCTTTGGTGGCCGGGGAGCGGCTAGGGATCGAACTGGCGCTGCAGAGGCCGCGGGCAGCTTCACAACCCAGCGCTCAACCGCTGCACCACCGGAGAGGCCCGAATCTGGAATTTTTTTCATCAGTATTAGAAATTTCATTTTTCATTAACTGTTTCCTTTATCCTTTTTGTTAATTCAGTTAAATACTATCTTCATTTCTCTTCAGTTCTTTATAGTTTGATCTTTTTACTAGGTTTTTATTTTGCAAGAATTGTAAATTCACCTGCAATTATAAGAAATAATCAGAGGGCCTCCCCGGTGGCGCAGTGGTTGAGCGCCGGGTTGCGAAGCTGCCCGCGGCCTCTGCGGCGCCGGTTCGATCCCCGGCTGCTCCCCGGCCACCGGAGGAGGGTCCCGCATGGCGCGCAGACCTCTCCTGCCGCCCGCTGCTCCCCCCAGCAGTGTACTTCGGTCCTTCTGCCTGCTCTGCTCCCCCTCTGGCTCTGGTGAATTCTCTCACCCTCCCGCGCTTCTGACTGTACCCAGTGCATGTTTAAACAAACAAACAAACAAACTAAATAAATAAAGCATGCCTCTATTAAAAAAAAAAAAAGAAAAGAAAAGAAAGAATCAGAGAGATCCAGTGTGTGCTTTATTCACTTTCCCCAAAATGTGCCTCATTTTTTTTTTTTTTTTTTTAATGTAAAGTTTAGTGGAGGTTAGTGTGAAAACATCCTAGGTGAAAACACAAATAAAATGTTCTGTGAGAAATTTTACCCTGAGTAATCGTTCTTTTCTTTCCTTTGTAGTTGGGTATCCCTGGTCAGTAAGAATTATGAGATTGAAAGGACGATTGTGCAATTAGAAAATGAAGTCTTTCAAATGAAGCAGCAACACGGAGAGGCAAACAAAGAAAATATCCGTCAGGACTTCTGAGAGACAGGTTCTTTTGGTAGAGAGGAAGGCGAGCTAGATCTCTACCGGTCAGGAGCTTGAGCTAGGACAGACATCATCTGTGGACATCATCAGTACTGAATGTTTAGACACTGTAGAATATGAACTGTTTGTTATGAATTCTGTGTGTATGTTTACCAAATAAAAACATTTCAACCTGATGGTGTTTTTTTTTTTTTTTTTTTTTTACTATTAAAAAAACTTCAGTCTTTCAAATAAGTATGACTTTAAAATATTTTAGAATCAAAGTTCAGCCACCGGAACCTTACTTTATATCCAAGAGCTCATTATTGAAAGTTTTCAACATGTATAATAACTTGGATATTTTTGATTTATATATTTTTTCAAATAAAGAGAAGTAGTTCGAAACAAATTCTTGATCACCAAACAAGACATCAGAAATAAAGTGGCTCAGGACTAGCCCATGTGGTGCAGCAGACCTCTCCTGTCTTGCCCGCTGCTCCCCTTAGCAATGTATTTCAGTGCATCTGCCTGTTCTGCTCCCCACCCTCTGGTGAATCCTCGCCCCTGGCACCTCTGGCTTATACCCCAATTCTTGTATGCATAAATAAATTTTAAAAAATATGGTGGCTCAATATAGGTTCATATCATCATAGGTAACAGTTACATAAAGCCTGTGCTGAGCACTGTTTTAAGCACTTCAGGTACTGCTATTCCCAGGCTTATAACTGATGCTGTTATAGGACAGGGAGAGGGGCAGCCCAAACCCCGCAAACCTGCCTATTCTACATGGGTTCTGCCATCCGCCGCATCAACACAAAACATAGGAGACTTTAATGGGAAGGAACTTTAATAAAACTAGGAAACAATACAGGTAAGGCAAAGAGTCTAGTTTCTAAATGAAGCACCCAAAGTGACACGTCCCCTCGTGGGTAAAAGTCCATATGGGATTGGCCCAGAGCAAGGCCCCAAAGCCTGCCACAAGTCTAAAGCATCTTCCAGTGGGGACCCACAGAAAAGGGTCAGAAACAACCAGACAAGCCCAGAAGGAAAAGAGCAAAATCAACATCAAGATAAAAGCCGCCATTGTCTTTTTTTCCCCTGGCTGGCAGCGCGGAGGCCGTACGATGCCTGGAGTTACTGTAAAAGACGTGAACCAGCAGGAGTTCGTCAGAGCTCTGGCAGCCTTCCTCAAAAAGTCCGGGAAGCTGAAAGTCCCTGAATGGGTGGACACTGTCAAGCTGGCCAAGCATAAAGAGCTCGCACCCTACGATGAGAACTGGTTCTACACGAGAGCTGGCAGAGGGCCTCCCTGGTGGCGCAGGGGTTGAGACAACCTTTGAAGCTATCCGCAGCCACTGCAGCATGAGTTCGATCCCCGGGCAGGGAGCTACTCACATGGCGCCGCAGACCTCTCCTGACTCGCCTTCTGCTCCCCTCAACAGTGTATTTCAGTCAATCTGCCTGTTCTGTTCCCCACTCTGTCTCTGGTGAATCCTCTCACCTCCCACACTTCTGGCCTGTACCCCAGTTCTTGTGTGCATAAATAAATAAATCTTTAAAAAAAAAAAAAAAAGCTGCCATTGTCACCTCCCCACGGGTCTCACCCACATCTGTGTCACCCAGTCCACGACCAAAAGACAAGCGCAGTTTCTTCACGTGTCTCTAGGCTCCATGCGCCTCCTCCAGGTCTCCTGGCTCCATCCTGCTTCCTTCCTCAGTCTCCTCTGCATCTTCTCCTCTTCCTGCTCAGCTCCACCCTCCCTTGGGTGGGGCAGGGAACCTCCCCCTTTCCTGGGGACCACCCTGTTACAATGCTAATTAAGTAACCTCAAAGTTTTATAGCTAGAAAATGTAATTCAGGTTTTGAACCAAATATTCTGGTGCCAGGATTGTGTTTTTATATGAATTAGAGAATTACTGTCTCTTTTTAAGTAAAAATGGGAAATGGAATGTGAGATTCTGAAACTTGCAAATTTTAAGCCTCAATTGGAAGCTTACTGGTTTTTAGCTATTGACTGCTACGTTACAGAGGAAATAGATTAAAGAACTATTAAATACTCATGGCACATTGTAAAAAAAATTCATAGTGCTAAAGATTAAAAAGATTTAGAATCTGCATCCAAAATGCATTACAGTAGTCTAAATCCTGGAGAAAATCTCAGTACATTAGAACTTGAGAATAATGCTTACTACATATTTATGATGGGGGCTGGAGAGGAGAATTATATTTTCTCCACAGATGATTTGTTTTTTAATTTATTTATACAAGAACCGGGGTACAGGCCAGGTTTGTGGGAGGGTGAGAGGATTCACCAGAGACAGAGCAGGGAACAGAACAGACAGACTGACAAAACACACTGCTGAGGGGAGCAGCAGGAGAGACAGGAGAGGTCTGCCGCCCCGTGTGGGACCCTCAAGGGTCTGGTAGATAGAACTATTGTGACAGTTTCCATCATCCTCTGTTCCTTCTCCCCACCAGATTTAGACTCAGCTTCGTATCTTTGTTGAAATAACCTTTTCTTCCCAGATTTTCACCAACGCTGCCAAGACTGGTTGGATGGAAAGCATGTGGTCTTTTGCAAGGTGAGAGAGGATATAAATATTTTGGATGCCATGAAGCACTGGGAGCCCAGGAATGGTAAAACCAGTTCTGACCAAAGCTGAAATTGTTTCCCAGCAAATGATCCTGTCAGATCACTCAGTGAGGCATAGCCACCCCACCCCACTGACAGGAAGTTTCTAATCCATGCTCCAGTTTCCCTTTCTTAAATGCAGGCAGACAGTTGAGGATTGTGGATAGGTAGCTGAGGGATGCCTTTATCATGAAAATCAAGGAACAAAACAAATGGGAAAAAAGCTGTGGAGAAAACACCATCTGGTACAAAAAGAAAACCATTATTGTTTTTTAAGAACTATATCCTTGGAGAAGTTAGATGTCACCATAAAATAAAAACAGGATGCTATTTTATTAAGCATCTCGAGAACAAAAACAGCTCTTAGAAGTTAAGAAGCATGGTAACAGAAATTAAAATTCAATAAAAGAGTTAGGAATTAAAGTTGATAAACTCAGAAAATGGAGCTAAAGGCAAAAATGGAAAAATAGAGAAAAAAATATGTCTAATTTAGAAGGTAAATGTTCAAATGATTTGAGGTCTGAAACCACAGACAGAAAAGAGGAAAAGAAATAAAATTCAGAATTTTCTAGAACTGAAGGATATGAATGTCCAGATGCAAAGTTCCCAAAAATGGCTGAAAATAGATATATTCCAAAGCATATTATTTGGGAAACTTTGGAACACCAAGGACAGAAGAAGATTCTGCAAGATCTAGGAGATCAGTTACACACAAAGAATCAAGAATTAAAATATCTTTAGGCTTCTCAACATCAACATTGGAAGCTACAATAAAGACAACAGAGAAGTGCATAAGAATTCTTACCAAAAATTCCCAACCTAGGATTGTATACAAAGTCAAATTACCAGTTAAGTAGAAGGATAGAATAATGACATTTTCAGGCATGTGAAACTTCAAACACATTATTTTCTAAGTAATTTTTTTTAAAGATTTATTTATGTATGCATACAAGAACTGGGGTACAAGCCAGAGGTGTGGGGTGGGGTGTGAGAGGATTCACCAGAGACAGAGTGGGGAACAGAACAGGCAGACTGACTGAAACACACTGCTGAGGGAAGCAGTGGGCGAGACAGGAGAGGTCTATTGCGCCATGTGGGTTGCTCCCTAGCCAGCCAGGGATTGAACTCTTGCTGCAGAGGCTGAGGACAGCTTCATAGGTTGTGTCACCAGGGAGGCCCTCCCCTGAACTTCTTTCTGCCAACCGTGCAGCATTGACCCTGCCTCCCAGTCTCACCAGAAACACAACGCTAATCCCTGACCTCCCAGGAATCACTTAAGCTTTGTCCCCTGACCTCTGGGATAGGCTCCTGTAGCTGTCAGGGAAGCTGTAACCATGACCCAGAAATTACTTTTTCCCAGGGGCTTTCAAGCATTAAAATACTGCCTTGGCGATAGACTGAATATTTGCGGTCCTCTCTCCCGCAAATTCATATGTTGAAAACTAATCTCCAATGTGATATTTGGTGGGGCCTTGGGGAGGTGATTAGGTCATGAGGACGAATAGGACTAGTGTCCCATAAAAGACAGGCCCTCCCCACCGCCCCAGGGAGGACACCATGAAGACTTGCTGTCTGTGAACCTGGAAGCGGGCTCTCTCCACACAGCTAATTTGCTGACACCTCGGTTCTGAGTGTCCTCGTCTCCAGGACTGTGACAAATCAATGTTTGTGTTTAATTCACCCACTCTGGCGGTGTTTTACTATAGTAGTTGTAGGGTAAGGTAAAAAAATATCAGGCCCTCTGCCCTCCCGCCATCAGGATGGATGATGGATCCCTGCGGTCCTGAATGCAGGCCTGGTGGCGGCACCTGGAGTGGGCTGTGGGCATACGAAGGTGGGTACACCTGGGCTGAGAGGGGGCTTATAAGGCCGTCATGGGGCACCAGCGGAACAGGAAGCACGAGAGAGGAACAGCAGAGCGAAAGGGGCGGGAGAGCGAAAGAACCAGCAGAGAATCTAAGGCCAGGAGGGCAGGCTGGAGAGCCCAGAAAGGGAGGACTCGCCGGGGGCTGGGCGGCCTGCCAGCCTCCTGGTCCCACCCTGCCCCCCTCTCCCTGGCACCCCTGCCTGCCGTGTACCTGGTAAATCCCAATACAATTCTGCAAACAGCCACCCAGGGCTCCAGGACTCACTTCGCCTTCACCCGTTTGCACAGAATCACAGAGAACCTGCTCGGAGCCCTTCCTGCCGCCACAGCAGCCCAAACAGACCAAGAGTGTAAGGCTGCTTCTCCGCTTTTCTGTTAACTTCATGTTAATCACATTCGCTCACAGGTAGGTGGTGGGGGCAGCTGTGGAATGTTCCCCGTCACGCCGGTCCTAATCTCCAGACCCTGGGAATGTATTACTTTCCTTGGCAAAAGGAACTTTGCAGATGGGGTTAAATTCAGGTGCTTGAGAGAGACGTTAGCCTGGATTCGCTGGGTGGCTTGATGTCATCACAGAAGTCCTCACGGGTGTGGAGGGGGGCGGAGAGGAGAGAGGACGCTAAACAGCCGGTTTTGCAAAGGAACAGACAAAACTAAAGCAAAAAAAGATCCTTGGGGGCTTCCCTGGAGG